AACCAGTGGAACAGCTTGCCTCCAGAAGTTGTGGGTGCTCCATCACTGGAGGCTTTTAAGAAAAGTCTGGACAGGCATTTGTCCGGAATGGCATAGGGTCCCCTGGTTGGACTGTACTTAAGTTGGACTGTATTTACCTTTACTTAAGAGAGAATGAACTCAGGTGGTTGAGAAATCAAATGCAGCCACTGGGTTAACTTTTACTCAGTGTGCAAACTCAATGGAGCTCCTGGGTCTTGGCAACCAGCGAAACCACTTTGGACTGCTGCAGATCCTACAACCAAATTTGGCAACCATGAAAGAGTTGCAGGCAACTTGGACAAGGCCGCCTCGAACTTCGGTCCCTTGAAATCTCCATGGACAGATCAGAATGAAACCCCTCCATTTCCCCTGCCCTGGTGGGCTGAGCTGGCCAAATAGAATAGAATAGAATTCTTTATAGAATAGAATTCTTTGTAGAATAGAATTCTTTATAGAATTAATAGAATTCTTTATAGAATATAATTATTTGTAGAATAGAATTCTTTATAGAATAGAATTCTTTATAGAATAGAATTAATACAATTCTTTATAGAATAAAATTAATACAATTCTTTATAGAATAGAATTCTTTGTAGAATAGAATTCTTTATAGAATAGAATTTTTTGTAGAATAGAATTTTTTGTAGAATAGAATTCTTTATAGAATAGAATTAATAGAATTCTTTGTGGAATAGAATTAATAGAATTCTTTATAGAATAGAATTCTTTGTGGAATAGAATTCTTTATAGAATAGAATAGAATTTTTTGTAGAATAGAATTCTTTGTAGAATAGAATTCTTTATTAGAATAGAATTCTTTGTAGAATAGTTATAGAATATAATTTTTTGTAGAATAGAATTCTTTGTAGAATAGAATAGAATTCTTTATAGAACAGAATAGAATTATTTACTGGCCAAGTGTGATTGGACACCCAAGGAATTTGTCTCCAGTGCAGGTGTATACAACAACAATGTGAATAGTTATAGATCATAGTTACAATCGTAAGATACAACAACAAGGAATAAATACCAATACCAACAGGAGAAGGAAGTAGGAAAGATGAGAAGAAGAATAGCAATACAGCCCTACTACATGGGTAAAGATCCTTAGGCCTAACGCAGAGCTGTGGGAACCAGGTGTTCAGCAGAGTGACGACACGGGGGGGAAAAAACTATCTTTGTGTCTAATTGTTTTGGCGTGCAATGCCCTACGGCAGCGTCCAGAGGGGAGAAGTTGAAACAGATTATGTCCAGGATGTGGACATGTGGTTTATTGTCTCAGCCCTCCTTCTGGTTCGCGTTAAATATGACTTAAATTCTAGTTGCTCCCTCTGCAGAGAGACCCCCCTCCCCAGGCCGGGTATCAAAAGAGGCTGTGGCTTCAGGAAGGATCACAATCCGTCTTTGCCTTGCAGAGCGTCGTTGGCCACTGCTGTCCCCCCCACGAAGACAGTGGCATCGTGCACTGCGCTCTCAAGCCCCTCCAGTTCCTCGTTTCTGACCAGGAGTTTCCTGGCTCCACCGGACTCCTCTTGAAGGTGCGAAGGGGTTTGTCCCCCCCCCCAGGAGAGAACAGAGGTGCTTCTCCGCCTTTGATGGCCCCGAGAATTTTATACAGGGAGACCTCGACTTACAACAGTCCACTTAGTGACCGTTCGAAGTTACAACCGCATTGAAAAAAGTGACAGTTTTTCACACTAATGACCGTTGCAGTGTCTCCATGGTCCCGTGATTTGCAGTAGGTTGCTTGGCAACCGACTCACGTTTATGACGGTCGCAAGGCCCTGGGGTCCCGTGATCCCCATTTGTGACCTTCTGACGAGCAAAGTCAGTGGGGAAACCGGATTCGGTTAACAACCGTGTAACAACTGCAGCGAGCCACTTAACAACTGTGGCAGGAAAAGTCGTAAAATGGGGCAAAACTCACTTAAGAAATTTCTCGCTGAGCCACGTAAATTCTGGGCTCCATTATGGTCGTAAGTTGAGGACTACCTATAGTCATTGTGCCGAGTCATCCCATGACCGGACTCCATTTTATTGACCATTTTTAGCATGGTCGTTAAGGTAGTAATTCTAATCCAGCTTATCCAGTGGTGGGAAAATGTTTTTAAAAAGTTGCAAAATGTGATTCTGAGACTGTGGGACGGTGCAACAACCGATTGTCAATGCGGGCCAGATGCCAAGAGCCCAAAATGTGACCACGTGACGGCAAAGGTCAGGTGGCAATCATAACTTTGAGAGTCATTTTTTTTCTCTCGTAAATCGTTAAACAACCAGCCATAATTTGAGGACTCCCCGTAATCATGACTGAGAAATCTTCCATTTTTAGAATCCAGAGGCATTTTTTTTTCTCTTCCAGCGCCCCCCGTTCTGCCCCATCAAGCACTTGACTGCGAAGCAAAGGGCTTCCCTCCCCGCAGAGACCCGGCGCCAGGGGGTGGATGTCGGGGTGGCCGTTCTCCTGGAATCGGCGAACCAAAAGATTTTGTTGACCCGCCGGGCGAGAACGCTCCGCCTCTTCCCAAATGCTTGGGTGCCTCCTGGTAAGAAGATAAGATATGAGATAAGATCACCTTTATTGTCATTTTTTTACTGTGGGCACAATGGCACACATCAAAAATGAAATTTAGTTGCCCGCTCTCAAAGTAAAACACATACATGACACACACCTAAACATACTATGAACAACATATGTACAGACCCACATTCCTACATATACGTAGCAATAAATATTAAATATTGTCCATCTTGAATATATAACGGAAGGAGGAAGCTTGAGAGTTCGGAATGGGAAGGCCGCAGAGATGGACCTCAAAGGTAGACCCAAGGTTGCCTTCGGCTTAGAAAAGCTCAGGTGGCACTCCAGCGTCCCTATTCCTGAAGCTTAAGATTTTCTTTCGTTAAAAAAGTGCACGTTGTGTTGCTCATTGTAAGTAAGGAGATCCTGGACTCAGGTCACTGAACAGCCTGGTAGTCAAAGGTTAAGTGATCAATTAGAATAGAACTGGCATGGACCTTGGAGGTCTTCTAGTCCAACCCCCTGCTCAAGCAGAAGACCCTATACCAGTGGTGGCGAACCTATGGCACGGGTGCCAGAGGCGGCACTCAGAGCCCTCTCTGTGGGCACGCGCGCCGTCGCCCCAGTCCTAGGCCTTCAGCTGGGTTTTATTAACCCTTTTCGCTTTAGGCCTCCGCCGCCATGTGCAAAAAAAAAAAAAGGTTCAATCAGTCAATTTCAACTTCTCGTGGAAAAAAGATCTTGCAAAGTTGGAATTGATTGATTGAACTTTTTAGTCCCACCCAGTCTGCCGTTACCACCGCAGCCACACCCGGCCAAGGGGCGACACCCACCCGGCACTCGACGATGCATAAGTGGGTTTTGGGTTGCATTTTGGGCACTCAGTCTCTAAAAGGTTCGCCATCACTGCCCTATATCATTTCAGACAAGTGGCTGTCCAGTCTCTTCTTTTAAAAGCCTCCAGTGATGGAACACCTACTGGAGGCAGGTTGTTCCACTGGTTGATTGTCCTCACTGTTAGGAAGTTTCTCCTTAGTTCTAGGTTGCTTCTCTCCTGGATTAGTTTCCTTTCTTTGTTCCTTGTTCTGCCTTCAGGTGGCCTGGAGAATAGGTTTCAATCACAACAGAGCTGGAAAGGGACCTTGGAGGTCTTCTAGTCCAACCCCCTGCTCAAGCAGGAGAGCCCATACCATTTCAGACAGGTGGCTGTCCGGTCTCTTCTTAAAAACCCTCCAGTGATGGAGCACCCACAACCTCTGGAGGCCAGCTGTTCCACTGGTTGATTGTCCTCACTGTTAGGAGGTTTCTCCTTAATTCCAGGTTGCTTCTCTCCTTGATTAGTTTCCATCCATCATCTTTCTCCTGCCTTCAGTTGCTCTGTAGAATAGCTTGACTTTAAGTGAGCTTCTTTAAAATCACAGAAAGAATCTGAAATAGGGAATCTGGAGCAAAACCATCTGAACCTAGACCCCCCCATATCCTGACCTTCTCCGCTTTAGTTGTTGTTTTTCAGAAAGCAGGTTCCTAGTCCTCAGCACTACAAAGGACTGCTGGTCCCATCTTGCTTGAAACCTCTCCCTGCAAAGGCCCCTGGCATCTCCTTGGAGGGCAAAATCTCCCTGGTTTCCTCAGCTCCTGGCTCACGGATTGTTTCAGCCAGTGGGGCGAAACGATGCTCTTGCTGTCCTTATAGAGAGGGAGGAGATGATGGGTGAACATTTCCGAAATGGGTTGATTTGGGCCCGTTAGAGATTCGAACCTGGGGCCTTGGGGTTCAGAAATGGAAGTCTTGGCCCTCGGTAGCATTTGCACTGGGGCCATCTGAGCGATTTCAGCCTTTTTATGTAACATCAAGGCATAAAACAAAAAGGGATCCTAGGTAGTCCTTGATTTACAACAGTTTGTTTAGTGGCCGTTCAAAGTTACAACGGCATTGAAAAAAGTGAGTTACGACCTTTTTCAGTTAAGACCTTTGCAGCGTCCTTCTGGTCATGTGATCAGAATTCAGATGTTGGCTGTGTCCTGGGGTGACTTGATCCCCTTTTGCGAACTTCTGAGAAGCAGTGGGGAAACCGGATTCACTTAACAACGGTCACTGAACAACTGCAGGGATTCACTTAACAAGTGAATCTGGACAGCCAATTGTCTGAAGTGGTATAGGGTTTCCTGCCTGAGCAGGGGGTTGGACTCGATGACCTCCAAGGTCCCTTCCAACTTTATTATTATTATTATTATTATTATTATTATTATTATTATTATTATTATTATTATTATTATTATTATTATTATTATTATTACCTCCAAGATCCCTTCCAACTTTATTATTATTATTATTATTAAGTGTGGCAAGAAAGGTCGTAAAGCGGGTTAAAACTCACTTAAACAAGGTCTCACTTAACAAATCTGGGGCTATATTGCGGTCGTAAGTCAAGGATTACCTGTACTGAATCCCAGTTTTCAGAAGCAGCTGGTGAGGGCAGAAACTGGATGTGTTTTTTTTTTCCCTTGCAGGCGGCCATATTGAACCGGAGGAAGAGGTAAGGCCTTTTTTAAAAATCAAAACCAAAAAGGGAGAATTCAGAGAGTATCAAAGGCCAGGAATGACTGTAGGGAGTCTTGGGGGGGGGAATCTGGCCAGTATTTTGCAAGCTTCTAACCCTCTTGGAATCCTGAGGGATTCGGCCTGAGGGATTCGGAGAAGGAATTCTGTCTTGGAAAAAGGTTAAAAAAAAGAATTGAGTGGTGTGGTAGTCTCTGCATCAGCAGATACAAGAAATACCCTGGGGTGTTATGATCTCCCGGACGCATCCCCAGATACCTCTCCAGATGTCTGCTCGGAGGAGGATGAACCAATTCTGGGTACCTCAAGAGGGGAATTGATCAGTGGCTCCGAGCAGCCATCTGGGCAGGATTTGGCTGAAGTGCAGCTGCAATAGGACAGCCCTGAGGCTTCAGGTGGAGAAAGCACGCAGCTGCAGCCGGTTAATGATGAGGAAGAGGAACTGCCTCTGCACCTGATCCAAGAGAAAAGGCAGAAGCAGAGAAGGTCAACCCGACTACTCATGAGGAGAAAGCCTCGCCACTCTTGATGTGCTGCACCAGAAGCTGGCTATTTCGCACAGGAGACAGACGATGTGGGGAACAACACGTTCATTTCCTAGCTGTGTGTTTTCTGGTCTTTGATTCCTGCCTTGCTTTGGATTAACCCTGTGCATGACTTTGATCGTGCCTCGTGACCCCCGCTTGTGTTGTGGATTTAATTTTGCCTGGAGGGTTTGTTTCAATTGGGAAACTTTCAAGTGCCTTGCAGACTCACCGGCCATTGTCCCGTGGACTAGCACCGGTCTGCTTTTGGCTGGACTTCATTGGGACAATTCTGGGATTTGGGTGAATTTCTGGGGAATATTAATAAACCCACTAAACCACTGTTACATTTGAGTGAGCGGGACAGCACGCAGGGTGAGAGAATCGAAGCTTGAGTCAAGGGGGTCTGTGGGATGGGGAGCACTCTGTCCATGGTCAGAGGCTCTCTTCTGAGTGCAGCAGCCCCGACGCCCATCGATTTCAGGACCTGTCTTGTCTCCCCACCCTTGTTCCTTTCTTCTCCACAGCTGCTGGAGGCCGGCCTGAGGGAGCTGGAGGAAGAGACCGGCTTGCGGCTGCAGGATGGGGAATTCTCCTGGCACCTGCTGGCCCTCTGGGAGGTAACACAACCCCAAGATCCCCCCAGGTCTTGTGAAGGGTCAGGTGTGGGTCTTGTGATAGGGAGGTCACATCAGGTGAAGGTCATTGGGAGGTGAAGTACTGGTTTTGGGGGGGATGTGTGGGTTGCTTGAGGGTCAGTAGTGTCCCCGATTGAATTCGTAGGGGTTCATTGGCTGGTTGTAGGTCGTCGTGTCTGTTGATGGAATTGCTTGTGGAGTGCCAGGCTGCGATAAACCCGTGTGCATGGCAGGTGGTAGCGTGGCCGATGACTCCTGCATTGTTCCAGCCGAATTGGGTCTTGTGTTGCTGTGAAACGTTCTTGCATTGCTCCGTAAGGAAACGTTCGGAAACCAACCCAGAAGCTCGGAGGACGAACCTCCACCCTCATCCTCCGCCCGAGCTATAGATACTCGCCACGACGGCAATCCCATTTCACCTTGTCTTGTCTCCCCCCTGCAGTCTGTGTACCCTCCCCGGCTGAGCCAAGGTTTGCCCCGACGCCACCACATCGTGATCTACCTGCACTTGGCCTTGCAGGAGAGCCACCAGCAGCTCCAGGTGAGTGGGGCACGTTGGCCACGCTCCCCTCCCCACCGAGGTGTTTGGAGCAGAAGCGTCTTCTTACTTTTAATAGCACCTAGACTTAAATAGCGCTTCATAGTGCATTACATCCCTCTCTAAGCGGTTTACAGGGTCAGCATCTTTCCCCCAACCATCTGGGTCCTCCTTTTACCGACCTTGGAAGGACGGAAGGCTGAGTCAACCTTGAGCTGGTCAGGATCAAACTGCTGGCAGTGGGCAAAGTCAGCCTCCTAACCACTGTACCACTACAGCTCCTGGTCTTAATTCCACTGATTGGATTGACCTTTTCTCAGAGGGCCCGAGATGACAGGCACCGGGCTCTCCTTTCATTTGATCCCACAACAGCCTTGCGAGGTAGGCTGGGCTGAGAGCAAGCAGCCCAAAGTCAGGCCTCAGGGACTAGAGCAGTGGTTCTCAACCTGTGGGTCGGGACCCCATTTGGGGTCGATCAACCATTTCATGGGGTTCGCCAAGCAAGGCTGTCCGCCATTTTTTGGTCCATTTTTCCCTTTTCCGGCGGGTGCCTTACCTCCCTTGGGCTGGGCCAGCTGGTGGTCGGCCTGCTCCGTCTCTGCCGCTTGCCAGCTACGCCTCGGCCGGCGCAGGGGGCGGAACCACGCATGCGCGGCGCTCCCGGGCTGGGAAAGTCCTCGACTTACGACCGGTTGGGTAGTCCTCGACTTACGACCGGTTTAGTCCTCGACTTACGACCGGTTGGGGTCGCGGCATTAAAAAGGTTGAGAACCACTGGACTAGAGGATTGCAGCAAATTGCCCCCCCCCCTCCGGAGGTTATACTTAAAGCCATCTTATTTGAATCATGGTTTGTTACCTAAGCCACAATCTTCCTGAGTTTACCAACAGGCGAAGCGTGAAGCTCCAGAGCTTCTTCTCAATCGTAGTGTTTAATTAGAGTTTTGTAATTTGAGATAATTTCTTATGGTCAAAGGGAGGAATGTCTGCGCACAAGATTGGAGACTGCGATGTTCAAAAGAAGCCATTTAATGACAAGGAGATGAGATTCAGATGGTTCTCCCGCACTCTCCCGGTTGGACCGCTGCCATCAGGAGTCCATGCAGAGGTGGAGGGCAGCTTCAGCCTGGCGCTGGATGCTTAATCAGCAGCAATGAATTAATGGCCTTTTTCCCTCATGGAGAGGGAGAGGCAGAGAAGAGGAACGCTGTCTGATGCTTGAATTGTGGATTGATCTACATCTCTTGACAGGCCAGGCTGAAGCCCAACGAAGCCGAGGTCAGCGCTGTCGCTTGGCTGGACCGCCCCACCCTGGCATCCATTGTGGCTACGGAGGACGGGGCAGAAGGCGAGAGCCCGGGGGCGGGCAGGGGGGCACCGTCCACTGTCAGGTACGTGGCAGGGAAGAGCATCCCGGCTTGTCTGGTTTGAAAGCAAGAGCCAAGGGTCTAGTCCAGCGGTCCCCAATCTTTCCAGTTTGGTGGCCTGGCAAAGAGGGAGGCCGTTGAGTGGCAGGTGGGCACACTGCTCCATTTGTGTGAGCGTCGTGCCCACCCTCCACTCACAGGAGTGGAGCTTCACACGTGCGTGCTTGCCCATTTCTCCCGCGTCCTGGTTCTGAACAGGCCGCGTCCCTGTAGTGGGCCCGCAGCCCAGGAGTTGGGGACCCCTGGTCTAGTCCTCATAAGCTGGCTGAAGGAAACATAGTTTGGCCCATCATTATTTGTTCCTTCTCTTAGGTAGATAAACTGGATTCTTTGGGAAATCAGTATTTTTTCCTTTGGTAAAATAAAAGGGGCTATTAAGGCTTTTCAATCGATAACGTTCTGAATAATTTGCCCTTCCTGTTGGCAGGCAAGAACTAAAGATTTGTCCGGCCACCTCAAGGAGAGACGGCCCAAAGTCTCTCCTTTCTGCTCTGTTGAATTAATAGCTTCTCACTCCTCCTCGTTTGAACAAATGGGGTCAAGCTTGGACAGATCTCGTTCATTTTTAGCAAGGAGTTTAGGGTGGGGGAGACAAGGGGCAGAATGGTCTCCCTCCTTCCCCACATTTAAAGATCTCTGTATATCTTGTCTCTCTTTGTAAACAGCATCATCGAACTGGAGAAGGGCTCAGCCGAGACCCTGGTGATCCCCACTGCCACATTCCTGGCCACAGCACAAGGGGAGGATGTGGAGCACGTCAGCACCGGCACCAAGTACGCCCTCCGGCAGTGGCTGAACTTGTCAGCCCCCTGCGCGGCCGAGGATGCCTGAACGCCTGGGAAGCAGGAGGATGCCCTGGGCTGATGCCTCTGGAGTTACCTGGCAGATGTTTGGCTCCAACACTCCTTGACTTTTGTTTTGGAGAGTGGGGCGGCTGTGTTCCAGCCATTGCTCAGTTGCCAAAAGATGACAAGTCTTATTTAGCTTTTGCCTGTCTCTGGAGTTTACCTTACAGATATAGTCCTCGACTTACAACAGTTCATTTAGTGACCGTTTGATGTTACAACGGCACTGAAAAAAGTGACTTAGGCCGTGTTTTACACTTACGACCGTGGCAGCATTCCCCAGGGTCACGTGATCAAAATTCAGACACTTGGCAACTGATTTATATTTATGACGGTCGCAGTGTCTCAGGATCATGTGATCCCCTTTTGCAAACTTCCGACAAGCAAAGTCAACGGGGAAGAAGCCAAATTCGCTTAATGACCGTGCGACTAACTTAAGAACGGCAGGGATTCGCTTCACCGCTGTGGCAAAAAAAAAAGTTGCAAAAAGAGGCAAAACTCACTTTAATAAGCATCTCACTTAGCAACAGAAATGTTGGGCTCAACTGTCGTAAGTTGAGGATGACATGTACTTCCCTCATCTGACAGTCATAGAAGGCATAAAATAAGTGCTGAACGTGGTTAGGGAGTGAAAAAGTTCCTGGAATCAGAAATCCAATATTAGAATCCAGGTTGTGCTGTACAGGCCCAGATGAACAGGAGTTGAAAGGGGAATAAGCACAAGGATATTATTATATATATTATTCATCTCAAAAAGACATTGTGAAAATCCGCCTAAAGAAACACATGGATCAAATTTTATACAGTTCCTAACCATGTACAGGTAGTCCTCAACTTTGGACCACAGTTGAGCCCAAAATGTGTGTTGCGAGACATTTGTTAATTTTGCCCTATTTTACAGTCTTCCTTGCCACAGTTGTGGCAAGTGAATCATGGTAGTTATTAAGTTAGCAACACGGTTTTTAAGTGAATCTGGCTTCCCCCATTGACTTTGCTTGTCAGGAGGTCGCAAAAGGCAGTCCCGTGACCCCAGGGATAGTTCAACCATCATAAATGTGAGCCATGTTCTGTCCCAGCCTATGTGAGTCCTTGTTAACTTTACAAGGACAAACCCCTCTTTTAACAAGTAGGCTGGAAATGCAGGGAAAACCAACCCCTTTTATTAATTAGGTACAGACCTGCGAAATGTCCCAAAAGCAGAGGCAAACAGAACACGATGCAAACGGAGAATTGTTCACAAGCAAGGCAAACAAAACAGGATTCCATGAAACTTGAGTCCTTTGCAAACAGTTGCCGTCAGCAACCAGCACCGCCCACACCTTCCCTTTTTATTATGCAGCCCCAAGGCGTGGCTTCTCAATGCCTTCTCCTCGTCCCTTGGAGTCGCCCCATTGCCTCCCTCTGTCCTACTCGTGTTGCCTGTCTGCGTTTGCGAGCGTCTATGATGTCTTCCAGCTGTGAGTCCTCAGAGTTTGACTCAGCTTCCTCGACTCTGATGGGTCTCCAGGCTCCTCCTCCTCCTCCTCTTCCCCAGACTCAGCTGCCGGATCCACTGACTGGCACGGACTCACAACAAGCCAGTTGTCAAACATACAAATGTAAATTATGTGACCGTGAGGGATGTTGCAACAGTCGTGCGAAAAATGGTCATAAGTCACTTTTTTCAGTGACATTGTAACTTGACACTGTCACTAAATGAACTGTTGTAAGTCAAGGACTACCTGTGTCCTCTAAGTATGTCGATGAAGATTTTCAGTCACCCAGGTAGAGTTGTCTGGAAGTTCAGTCGTGACAACCAGACTTATTTTCTTGTTCCCAACAATTATAAAAAAACAAAATATACAAGGGGAAAAAAATAGCGTGGTTACATTTAGCCAACTACTTATATCTCAGTGGTTAACTTTATTTAAAAATGTTTTTGAGGAAGGAAAATAATTCAACATGAGTAAATAGTGCCATAGATCACAACATTGACTTGTAAGTCCTATATCCCTATTAACAAACGAGAGTCAGTCTTGGTGTCAAAACGTTTATTCTTCGGGACCTCAAGCCTCTGGCCATCCCAACTATGAATTAAAAGCCGGGAGACCCTGAACACAGGGAACAAACGTGGTTTGTTCCCAGTCTCTAGCTGAGAAGCAACATAACTTCGTTAATCTACAACAGGGGTACTCGTGAACTTCAACTCCCAGAATTCCTGAGCCAGCACAGCTGGCTCAGGAATTCTGGGAGTTGAAGTCCACGAGTCATAAAAGAGCCAAGGTTGACTACCCCTGATCTACAACATGGCTAGTGCAGTTTTTCTCCGTTTGTTTCTTTCGGAATAAATAGGACATAAGAATGTTGTTTCGGTACCCCCGGCCCGATAACCCAAATACTAAAGGCCCCCACAAGGTCCATTCCCAGAGTTGCTAGTCAACCTGCTGGGCTCAACTTAAAGAGTGCAAAAGGAGGGTCTCCCCTCCTTTTTCCAAAGCCCCCCCCCCAGTTCAGAGGAACCCCTTTTCCCAAGCAGGGCCTGGCTGGCTGAGTCTGCCATGTTACTAGCTCCCTAACCTAGTTTCCGGACTGGGAAATTTAGGAGAGGAAGAACCTCAGCTAGCCAGGCCGACCAGCGCCAGTCAAGGTTTCAGCTTCAGCCACGGGTGGAGGATGGTGAGGATGGAGAGGATGGAGGAGGTCAGGCCGCAGAGACCCACGAAACCGGAACTGGTCTTGTACATGCCCAGCTTGTCCAAGGGAATGAAAATGTCACAGGCGTTTTTCATCACGTCGAGCAGCAGCGGAGGGTTGTTCCGCAGCACTTGGGCCAGGAGACAGAGCTGCAGCTTCAGCCTTTGGGCCAACTGCTGGGAGCGATGATCCTCCCCCGGGGCGGACCTGCCATTTCTGCAGCTTCCTTTGTGAGACTTGGCGTTCACCTCCCGCTCCATCAGCAGCCGGATTTCGTAGGCGTCCCGGCTCAAGCTCATAATCAGCGCAAAGAGGTAATATCTGGAAAGGGTGTGAAGAAAGAAAGAAATAACATATATATATATACACTGTTTTCATCTTTCAAAGTCAACCTAATATTTCAAAAGCCATACCTAAAATTCCCAAGGCCTCTTATATGTGTGTCTGTGTGTAAAAGCTTCTTAGCCCAGAATTTCCCTTGCCATCTAAATTGGACTTTAGCAATTATTATTATTATTATTATTATTATTATTATTATTATTATTATTATTATTATTATTATTATTATTATTATTATTAATAGTAATAATAATAATAATAATAATAATAATAATAATAATAATAATAATAATAAAGTTGGAAGGAACCTTGGAGGTCATCGAGCCCAACCCCCTGCTCAGGCAGGAAACCCTATACCATTTCAAACAAACGGCTGTCCAGTCTCTTCTTAAAAACTTCCAGTGTTGGAGCATTCACCGCTTCTGGAGGCAGGTGGTTCCACTGGTTAATTGTTCTAACTGTCAGGAAGTTTCTCCTTAGTTCTAGGTTGCTTCTCTCCTTGGTTAGTTTCCATTATAGGCATGCAACATCTGTAGATGATCGTTTAAAGCAGGGGTAGGCAACCTTGGCTCTTTTATGACTTGTGGACTTCAACTCCCAGAATTCCTGAGCCAGCCATGCTGAGGGGAAAGGGAGAGGTTTCCATGCTGAGCCATGCTGGCTCAGGAATTCTGGGAGTTGAAGTCCACCAGTCATGAAGGGTCAAAGTTTCCCTCATGCTGGCTCAGGAATTCTGGGAGTTGAAGTCCATGAGTCATAAAAGAGCCAAGGTTGCCTACCCCTGTCCTAAGTCCTCCTGTTCTAAGCGGTGAGCCTCCTAGATCAAGGGGAAGGCAACCTTGGCTCTTTTATGACTCGTGGACTTCAACTCCCAGAATTCCTGAGCCAGCCATGCTGAGGGGAAAGGGAGAGGTTTCCATGCTGAGCCATGCTGGCTCAGGAATTCTGGGAGTTGAAGCCCAGGAGTCGTAAAAGAGCCAAGGTTGCCTACCCCTGGTTTAAAGGGTTGCTTTTGAAAGCTCTTTGTGGTATAAAGAAATTAGTTTCTAAAGAGCACTTCGAAATTTTTAATTTGATAAGACTTGCTTTGCGTTCTCGGAACTGAATTAGCCATTTCCTCCACAACTTGGGAGCCCTCAAGCAGAGGTCAAAGCTCGGAGGGAGGGAGGTTCCACCTCACCTGAATGACCGCTGACTCCACTTCTCGTGGTCCATGTGTGGGACGAGACCCGATTTCCCCGCCCACAAGATGTTGTCACAGGCGAAGTACATGGCTCGGTTCAAATGGCTCACTGTGATGCAGAAACGAAGGACAATATCCGACAGGTGGATGGCTCTTTTGGCTGCCTCCAGAGCGTCCGCAGAGTTCCCCAGCCGGAATACTGGAAAGGAAGCCCAGAGTCACAGACGTGCACAATCCACCCTGGCTTATTTTCACAGCTCGCCAAGGGAGAGGCCTTGAAATAGGCTGGGTGGAATGGCAAGCAATTACTTTTTTTATTGTCTATTTTCTTTTTATTAGTTTATAATATAAAATGCGTATAGTCAAGGCCATGGTTTTCCCAGTTGCAATGGATGGATGTGAAAGTTGGACCATAAGAAAGGCTGAGTGCCAAAGAATGGAGGCCTTTGAACTAGGGTGCTGGAGAAGACTCCTGCAAGTCCCCTGGACTGCAAGGCGATCCAACTGGTCAGTCCTGGAGGAGATCAACCCCGACTGCTCTTTAGAAGGCCAGATCCTGAAGTTGAAACTCAAGTCCTTTGGCCACCTCATGAGAAGGAAGGACTCCCTGGAGAAGAGCCTGATGCTGGGAAAGATGGAGGGCAAGAGAAGAAGGGGACAACAGAGGATGAGGTGGCTGGATGGAGTCCCTGAAGCAGCAGGCGTGAGCTTCAATGGACTCCAGAAGATGGCAGAGGACAGGAAGGCCTGGAGGAACATTGTCCATGGGGTCGCGATGGGTCGGACACGACTTCGCAATTAACAACAACAATATAAAATGCAGAAGCAAATAAGGAAAAATAGGAGACGGAAAAGGGAAGGGAAAAGTGTAGAAAAGAAGGGAAAAAGAAAAGGCATCAACTTCCGATTCTCTTTGGTGCAGTAGAATAAGAGAATAACATCGAACCTCGACTTTTTAACTTTTACACAATAGCATAAACTAGCAATTTCAATAACAATAAATCTATCTAATCAGTAAAACCCCAAGTCAAAGTTTCATTTTTCTCCCACCTCAAGCACAAACCAGAAGCGGTTTCCAAATAGAAACAAAATTAATTGTGTATTTTTTCTTTCATCAAAGCAGTCAATTTAGCCATCTCTGCTAACTCCACTGACTTTTGCAGCCATTTATTCATCCATTGTGGGGATCAAAGTGTCCTTCCATTTTTGTGCATGAAGTCATCTTGCTATGGTTTCCCCATCAAAGTCCCAATTTTTTCCCCAAGTCTTTATCCATTGAACTCAAAAGAGAAGTTTCTGATTTTATCTTTATATTCACTTTAAGAATCTTCTGTATGAGGAGAATGGCAAGCAATTGCCTGGATGAATCCTTAAGGCAACTAACTACTTTTGGTTGACTGAGAAAGAGAGCAGAGGGAACGAAAATCCTCCCAAACATTTCCTACCATCCGGTGAAAAAGTAAGCACACTCCACTGAATCCTATTTTTTTTCCACATAACAAGTGACAGGCGCCATTTACATTTTTGCAATCCATTGTGTAGGTTAAGTAAACATTAATGCAAATTTTGCATAGGGAAAAAGTAATACAGGCAGCCCTCAACTTACCACCACAATTGAGCCCAAAATTTAGGTTGCTAAGTGAGACATTTGTTAAGTGAGTTTTACCCTATTTTACGACCTTGCCCCAGTTGTTAAGTGAATCACTGAAACTGTTAATTAGTAACACTGTTGTTAAGTGAATCTAGTTTCCCCATTGCCTTTGCTTGTCAGAAGGTCGCAAAAGCTGAACACATGAACCCAGCACATTGCAACCGTCATAAATATGAGCCAGTTGGCAAGCATCTGAATTCTGATCATATGATTATGGGGATGCTGCAGAGGTCATGTGGAAAACGGTCATAAGTCGTTTTTTTCCATGCCGTTGTGACTTGGAATGGTCACTAAATGAACTGTTGTAAGTCAAGGCCTCAGAGAGCACCCAGGAGCCCTCATTTCAACCCTGAGTGACAGATAATCTTCTTTATTAATAGTGAGATGCTTGGCAGCGTGGGTAGATTGTCCTAACAGCAAAAATAAGTGCCCAGATGAAATTTTGCCATCCTCCTGCTTGCTGCTTACCCTTCTTTGGGGGCATAGCCAGCTTTGGCATTGCGTGCCTCTCAACATCCTTACAGACTCCATCTCTTCTCTGCCTCTTTATTTGTTCCTCTGCTATCTCCCTCCTTGCTTTTGATTCAGCTGCAAATTCCCCTTCAGCTGCAAATTCTCTTTCTCCTCCTCCACCTTCTTGCCCTTCCAGGGCCAAAATGCCTGCTGCAACTCTGCCCTCCCACCCCAGTCAATTCCCATCACACTTACGCTTGCGTCCCAAACTCAGATGAGCCTCCAGCTGCTTGATCCTAGCAAGAAAATCAGGTCCAGCGCCATTCTTCTGCAGGGCATAGCTTAGTAGAGTGCAGGCATACTGGGCAGCTCTGCAGAGAATACAAGAACAAACAGTTAAAAAAGATCTAAACGAGATTTGTTGCTAAAGAGCCTAGGATAATCCTCATACAACCAGCTGGACACAGCTAGCTCATAAGCTAAGCAAGGCAAGACAATACAAAAAGAAGAGAGGAGTTATAGGACAAGTCATTACCCCCCAATTTGGTTCTACAGGTAGTTGATTTAGTGACCATTCAACGTTACAACGGCACTGAAAAAAGTGACTTAGGACTGGTTTTCATACTTACGGCCGTTGCATGTTCGATCACGGTCACCTCATCAAAATTCAGATGTTTGGCAACTGGTTTGTATTTATGATGGTTGCAGTGTCCCAGGGTCATGTCATCCCCTTTTGTGACTAAACCTGTTCGGTTCAGTTACCCCTTCGGTCTAAGTGAATTGTTGGTCCAATGATTGAATAGGTAATATCACTAAGTGAATTGTTTACACCGTTCTAATACCCCGTTTTGAGTTTACAGAGTAAATCGTTAAACCCCGAGGTAACACCAGCATGCAACTACTGAGGGACATGACCCAAAATTATTCTCTTCCTTATAAGAGCATATGGTTTGCTTAGATTCTATTATAAATTCTTTGATATTATCTTGCCCTATCCCAGGGATCTTCAAACTTGGCCCTTTTATGACTTGTGGACTTTAACTCCCAGAATTCCTCAGCTAGCATGCTGAATTCTGGGAGTTGAAGTCCACAAGTCATAAAAGGGCCAAGTTTGAAGAACCCTGCCCTATGCGATTACATACACATAAGTAAACAAGAAGGAAGGAAATTGGGGGTCCACTTTTAGGAACAAACCGCAGCATTTTTGCTATCACCTATCAGCATAAGATTTGATGCCCTCATTGCCGATACCCATGCTGTTTTCATTGCCTCAGTTTCCAGACACCCAAATTCTTTCCAAGGTAGCCTCCCTAAAATTCTCTTTGAAGAAGTGACAGAGTGTGGGTGGGGCAAGAAATAAAAATTTGGATGACATAGTTAAGGGCACCTACGCCTTTTTCATCCATGGGGTGAGGACGAGAGAAAAACAACACCAAGAGGAAAAGAAAGCAAGTGTTGCCATTGTTTTTGTTGTGCCCTAGTGATGTGCAAGTCCATGTTTGCAATACAAAGCACAACTGGAATCAGTGGGGCAGCTGCCTTTAACTAGTTTGATATTAACATTTCTGCAGGAAAATCACCAAACTCAGAGAGCACCAAGGGCCCCAAAGGTCAATCCTGAGCCACAAATTTCTTCTTCTCTTAATCCCAGCTGAGATTAACTCAGTTTAAACCAAATGCATCCCATGATTTTTAAAAATAAAGTACAGGTAGTCCTCGACTTATGATTGCAATTGAGCTGGAAATTTCTGTTGTTAAGTGAGACATTTGTTAAGTGAGCTTTGCCCCATTTTATGACCTTGTCCGTTATTAAGTGAATCCCTGCAGTGGTTAAGTTAGTAACCCGGTTGTTAAGTGAATCTGGCTTCCCCATTGACTTTGCTTGTCGGAAGGTGACTTTGGGACACTGCAACGGTCATAAATAGGAGTCAGCGGCCAAGGGTCCAAATTTGGATCACGTGACCACGGGGATGCTGCAACGGTCGTAAGTGTGAAAAACGGTCACCAGTCACTTTTTTCGGTGCCGTTGTAACGTTGAACGGTCACTAAACGGAGTGTTGTAAGTCGAGGACTGCCTGGACTCCGGGATTTTCACCCACCGCCCTTCGCTCGTGCAAACCTGAACACCCGCTCCTTGGCTTGGCTTTGGGCGCTGAAACGGACCCAGGAATCCATCGCGGAGGCCGAGGGACGCCGAAAGGGAGGAACCGACCGAGCAGCCTCCGCCTGGCGGACCGCCTCGGCCCTCGCCCGACTGTCGGGCCCTGGGGGGAAGAGATAAACACCTGCACTTCCGCCTCCGCTACAGGAGCGCGTGAGGGTCAAATTCATCCCAGCTTTCTGATTGGCTCCTGCTGACGGAGGTCGGGATGGGCGACGTTGCGTAGCCTCAGGAGCGCCCGCCCGCTTCTGTTCGCGATCCCCATTGGCTAACCAACGCCGATGGGGGGGGCACCCAACTGCAACTCGGCCGTCAGTCTCCCCGCTTTTGAGAGACTCACGATGACGATTGGGCAAGAGGGCGGGAGAGCCCGCCTCCCGCCGGAGAAGGCGCTCTGCCATTGGTCGGCGGCCGCCCAGCGAAGACTGACACCTCGGGTGGGTGAGGGGAGCTGCGCGCGGCCGCCGCGTCTCTTCGCCTCGGGGGATGGAGTCGCTCCGCGTCCAGCGGCTGCAGCCGGGCGTCGGCGGGACCCTGCGCTCGCTGCGGCCCGGCGTGACGGCGGGGGCGCTGCTCCCCTCGGCCGCCTCGGCGCCGCCCCTGGGCGGCGGGGGCGGCGGCGAGCCCGACTGCGAGTGGGACCCCGGGCCGCCGCCCCCGCCGCCGCTCCCGCCCTCCCTCCTGCCCGGGGTGACGGCGGGGGCCGCCGCCTCGAGCCCCCCGGGAGGAGGAGGGGCCGCCGCGGGGCCGCCCGCCGTCCTGAGGGAGGCCGTCGAGGCCGTGGTCCGGAGCTTCGCCAAGCACACGCAGGGATACGGCCGCGGTGAGGAGCCGCCCCCGCCCCCCCCCGGGGCAGAAGGCCGGCTCCCCTCGGCTTCACCCCCTCAACGGGGCTGCTCCGGGATCGAGGGGGAGGGGGAGCGGCCTGCAGGCCCGTTAGACGCCGGTAGTCCTCGACTTACGACCAGACTCCAGCCCCCACCTTTCCCTTGCGAGGCAAGGCGTCGTTGAGGGAGGTTTTGTCCCGTTTTACGACCTTCCTTGCCACAGTCGTTAAGGGAAGCCCTGCCGTTGAATTAGTAACGCGGTCGTTAAGTGAACCTGGCTTCCCCATTGGCTTGGCTTGGCAGAAGGTCGCAAAAGGGGATCACGTCTCTCTTGGGACACATAGCAAGGGTCATAAATGCGAATCCAGTGGCCAAGCGCCTTGAGTTTGGACATTGTGTGACGGGGGGGATGCTACGACGGCTGTAAGTGTGAAAAAGCGGTCAGTCGCTTTTTTTCAGCGCTGTTGTAACTTCGGTCACTAAGCGAATGGTTGTAAGTCGAGGACTGCCTGTAATGGCTTAGGGAAGTGGGAGCAAGGTGGAATGGGACAACTCGGCATGGACAACTCACTGCAGGACAACTTGGCATGGGACAACTTGCAGGAGAATTCAACAATTCAATTTAATTAAAGTAATTAAAAAAATACTTTTTAAAGTTTTGTCATTCACATTTGTCCCTCCTTTGGCATCCTTTAATGATTCTGTTTGACTATTTCTTCGATATTAGGGTAACTCTTGTCCTGTGGCAAGTTGTGCTGCGTTGAGTTGGCTGCAGTGAAGTCAACCATGACCAGTTGGCTGTGGCGAGTGGTCGTAGACCTGGAGCAGGGGTCATTGGTTAATTATGGAGGCTGGGCCTGTGAACATATACAGGGTGCTTTTCTCATTGGGGTGCTGTGTTTCTGATCACGCGTGGAACATTTTTCTGAACATAGGACTATCCATTCCCCTGAGATAGACTAGGATGCATTTCATTGTTGGTGATAAAGGCAGCAGAGACGAGAACAGAGCGTCAGCCTGCATGGACTCACTCCTGTCAAGTGGCTTTATAGGTGAACATGTGTCAAGGTGGCAAACTTTTCATCTTTATAGGTTTTTAAGAGGGACCGTCTGGCAAGGATGGTTTAGTTGTTTTTACTGAAGATTGCAGAAAGTTGAACCATATAATTGTGGTCTCTTTTAAATTCAACACTATAATGATAGGCTTCCTTTTCTGGCAGGCTGTTTGATGCAGCCCTGTGCTTCTGAGCACAGCTTCTTTAGGCTTCTGTTTCTGTCCATCTGATATGCGACATCTGAGATTGCTTTAATAATAGCACCTTCCTGCCAGTCCTGCACTGTTGACGTTGTGTAGTTTTTCAATTTTATTACCTTTTCATGATTATGATTAGTAAAGAAGAGACAATTTGCTCAATACCACATTGTGTGGCTGGAGAAATTCATCCGCTCATAACGTATTTTGCAACCTTTTGACAAGCAAACTCAGTGGTGAAGCCAGATTCACTTATCAACCAGATTACCAATTTATCAACTGCAGTGATTCACTTAACAACTATGGCAAGAAAGGTTGTAAAATGTGGCATAATTTACTTAACAAATGTCTCGCTTAGCCACAGAAATTTTGGGCTCAATTGTAGTCGTAAGTTGAGGACTATCTGTACATGGGTTTCACTTCTGATAGTTTGGAGCAAAAATCTTCAGTTAACAGAACAGCAGAAAAACAGAGCTGGACGGGACCTTGGAGGTCCTCTAGTCCAACCCCCTGATCTAGCAGGAGACCCTATACCATTTCAGACAGGGCTGTCCAGTCTCTTCTTCAAAACCTCCATTGATGGAGCACCCACAACTTCTGAAGGCAAGCTGTTCCACTGGTTCTCACTGTCAGAAAATTTCTCCTTAGTTCTAGGTTGCTTCTCTCCTTGATTAGTTTCCATCGGTTGCTTCTCATCCTGCCTTAAGGTGCTTTGGAAAATAGATTGACTCCCTCTTCTTTGTGGCAGCCCCTCAAATATTGGAATTCTACTGTCATGTCACCCCTGGTCCTTCTTTTCACTAGACTAGACATATCCAGTTCCAGCAACCATTCTTTGTATGTTTTAGCCTCCAGCCCCTAATCATCTCTCTTGCTTTTCTCTGCACTCTTTCCAGAGTCTCAACATCTTTTTTCATATTGTCCCGATCAAAACCGGATGCAATTTTCCAAGTGTGCTCTTACCAAAGCTTTTTAAAGCGGCACTAACACTAACGTTTGGACCATGTTTGAACTGCAAACTATTTGTTCTGGAACTCTGTAAAGTTCTGTCAATTATTTTCTCAAAATCTATTTGATTGTTTTAAGAAATACATGTAGGAATAGAGGAAGATATACTAAGGTGTTTTATACGATTCTAAGGGAAAAAAACTTCCACTGTTTTCATATTGAGGTCATTGGCTACAATTGTTTGCTTAAGTGGCAGTTGGGTAGCAGGGAGTGCATCCAGTGAATGCTGTTTTGTACATTTTAAACAGTAAATGCTTGGCAGGCAGTCTATAGCTTGACTTAGAGCTCCTTTTCTGGCTCTTGAAAGCCTGCAAGGCCATATGGAATCATTTACTCTTTCTTAAATATGCAAGTCAGATGTGTGTCATATGCAAGGCAAGAACCAGAGTTTGGGACCAAGAGAGTAAACAGTGTTTATAAAGAACACGTGTGATTTCGGACTGTAAATATTTGAGCTTTGGTAGCAGGAAGTGTAGAAAAAAACCGCTTTTCTTCATGAGCATTTTTAGAGATTTTTGTTCTTTTGCTTCACACGTGTAGTTTCTTATACGGAGGAGTTGTACTTTCCAGCTGGTGTTTCTTCCATTGCTTAGGATTCATAAATGTTTAGCAAACAGATAGTCCTCGACCTACAACCACAGTTGAGCCCAAAATTTCTGTTGTTAAGCAAGACATTTATTAAGTGAGTTTTGCCCCATTTTACGACCATTCTTCTCTCATTTGTTAAATGAATCACTGCACTTGATAAGTTAGTAACAAGGTTGATAAGTGAATCTGGCTTCCCCATTGACTTTGCTTGTCAGAAGGTCACAAAAAGGGATCACATGACCCTGGGACACTGCAACCGTCATAAATATGAACCAGTTGCCAAGCATCTGAATTTTGATCACATGATCATGGGGATGCTGCAAAGGTCGTAACTGAAAAAGGGTCACAAGTTTCTTTTTTCAGTGCCCTTGTAACTTTGAACGGTCACTAAACAAACTGTTGTAAGTTGAGGATTACTTATATGCTCTACATTATAAATAGTAGATGCTAACTTAAAGTAGCTATAGAGCAGGGGTGTCAAACTGCCAGCCCACGGGCCGGATGCGTCATGTCGAAACTGCGCCCACCCCAGCTCCGACAATGGGGAAAAAGTCATGAGTTTTGTTACGCCAAAGTATTTATTAACATTAGTACTGAAATTTCTGGTTTTTCATTTGAAAAAACATTTTAGAAGATTAAAAATATATTATCTTTAGTTAGCGTATTATGTCCAGCATTTAATTAAACCTTAATTTTGAGTTTTCTGTTTGGTTCTTTTAGTTATTATTTAAAAATTGTAGTGTCTATATATGAATTAATTTTAGAAGCTGGGTGGACTTCCTAGAGGAGCATTTTTTGCTATAAGTAGTCCTTGACTTACGATCGATCGCTTAACGACCATTCAAAGTTATGATGAACTTCCCTGGGGCTACTTATTAACCTGGTTCCGCAATTACAACAGTGAACCCAATTGTGGTTGCAAATTGAAAACTTATCTGTAGTAGCTCTCTGGATTCTTCAATTGCAGCAATGATCGGGAAAGCTTTTATGTTGTAGCTGTGTGTGTAAATAATTGTTAATATTCTGATGGACTCTGCTTTTCTCTTTTCAGTCAATGTTGTTGAAGCGCTTCAGGAATTCTGGCAGATGAAGCAATCACGTGGTGCTGATCTGAAAAATGGCGCTCTGGTGGTTTACGAGATGGTTCCATCCAACAGTCCTCCTTACATTTGCTATGTTACGTTGCCAGGAGGGAGCTGTTTTGGCAGTTTTCAGGTTAGATTGTCTCATTTATGGAATCTTAGACTTGAACGGTGCAGTGGCCTAGAGCACGGGTCAGCAACCCACGGCTCCGGAGCCTCATGTGGCTCTTTGAGCCTTTTCCTGCGGCTCCCAGCCTCCTCTGCCATTTGCAGAGAGAGAGACAGAGAGAGGCACTTGCACTTCCCTTCTGTGTGTGTGTGTGTGTGTGTGTGTGTGTGTGTGTGTGTGTGTGTGTGTGTGTAAAAAGAGTGGCCTCATGCTGTTCTCTGACGAGCTGACAAGCTTACTGGGCGGGGCTCCTCCCTTTGCTGCGTCTCTGCAGGAAAGCAGAAGATTGGAAAGAGGGAGAGAGGGGGGAAAGAGAGAGAGAGAGACGGAGAGAGAAAAAGGGAGAGAGAGAAGAGAGGGAGGGAGAGAAAGAGAGAGAGAGAGAAAAAGAGAGGGAGAGAAAGAGGGAGAGGGGAAGAGAGAAAAAGAGGGAGAGGAAAGAGGGAGAGGAAAGGGAGAGAGAGAGAGGAAAGAGAGAGGGAGAAGAAAGAGAGAGAGAGAACTCATGCACAGCAGCCTCTATTTCTTTTTAATTAAACTCTTCAATCAAGCTCCCCACCCCTCGCGTGCGCTGCGGCTCCCAGTGTTTTCTGTGGGAAACGGGTCTAAGTGGCTCTTTGAGTGTTTAAGGTTGCAGACCCCTGGCCTAGAGGTAAAGACTCTCACCTCCCACTTGGAAGGTTGAGAGTTCAATCCCCTGCAGCGACAGATGTTTCTCTAACAGGGCGCAAAGAGAAAATTGCTGTGAACTCTGCGTAGGCGTCAGGAAGGGCATCCAGCCAGTAAACGCTCAGCTCCACCTAGTCGTCCTGACTCCACCCCAAAGAAAGAGTTTGAAGGGTCATAAAAAGAAAAAAAAATTATGGAATCCTAGTCAGATGGAATTGATGAAAATACCTTTAGTTTTGAACAGCCTTTCTTTTAATGAAAAGGCAAGCTATGAGACATAGCAATGTACTGTACTGTACATTTACTGTACCGTAAATGTGAAAAATTCGAAGTGTGTGGCACCTTTAACTGCATAATATCAGCAATAAGTTTCAGGAATGCTGTAATCCTCAGCTGTTCCAAATCCTGGGCTTAACAGAGCCTAAAGCAGCAAAGACTTTTGGCTAAATTATTCCGTTTGTGGGATTTGAAGCAGGCATCCAAAATAAACAGGAATATCTGAGCCCTTGGAAATAGCGTTGGGTGTTTAGGATCAAGTCGCTGGAGTTTGGTTTTAAACCAGTTAATTTTATTGACAAGTATTACTGTGGGATTTCTTTCTGTAAAATGTACATGCTGACTTTCAGCATCCTGTGAGATTCCTTCTTTCTAGGATGCTGAGCTTTCAAAGCTTTCTGACACTTGCAGCCTATCAAAGAACAGCAATTCAATAGTGCCCTTTGCAGCACAATTAAAATTTAGGGATAACTTTGTTAACTTACCCATATAGTTTCCGTTCTTACGTCTACCTTGTATTCTTCTCCAACCCCACTTCAGTTTTGTCCAACGAAGGCCGAAGCCAGGAGAAGTGCTGCAAAAATTGCACTGATGAACTCAGTCTTCAATGAACATCCATCCCGTAGAATCACAGATGAATTTATTGAGAAAAGTGTTATCGAGGCCTTGGCATCTTTCAATGTAAGTCCTTTTAAAGGTTCTGTAATTAGTAGGGCAATAATTGTAGGGAAAACTCATAAATCTTTAGGAATCCTTCTGGAATCCTTTATTGCTAAGGCTTCTATGTGTGCAATGAAAATAAGTAGTGTTGACCATTGTTGTGTACTTCTCCCAGTTATAAGTGTGTGTATGATATTTACCCTTGGCATTTTCAATGTAATTTACAAAATTCACTGTAACAATTGCAACTAATTCTATGTGGGACAAACATCACATCGATTAAAAAACAGAATACGTGAACATCAGCTGGCAATCAAACGCCACAATCCCAAATCTGTAATCTCTACCCACACTGACACCAAACAGCACCGATTCCATTGGAGCAATACAGGACTAATCGGCCACGCTACCACCTGCCACGCGCGTGAGTTCATCGAATCCTGGCACTCCACAAGCAACTCCATCAACACACATCAACCTACAAGCAGCCTACAAACCCCTCAGAATTCGAATCAACTGCACAGCCAATTAGGAACAGCACCGACCCTCAGCCAACTTCACTTATCAGTGACCCTCACCTGACATGACCTCTCCATCACAAGACCCTCACTTGACATACCCACGCCTGACCCACCACAAGACTTACTGACCACACAAAGCGTTTATAAGCAGAAAGACACAGACACACGCACACACACCCTAAACTCTGCTGAAGATGTTACCTAGCCCGGTAACTAAACGTTCAGAAACCAACCGACAAGCTCGCAGAAGGAACCTCCAGCCTCATCCTACACCCAAGCGACAGATACTCGCCACCATCACAAACTTTCGATATCTTTTTGGGGATGCCTAATAACATTCTTTTTATACTGACAGGATTTTTAGAAGTGGTTTTCTCCTGCGTAACAGTAATTGAGCCCACAAGTTTGTTTGTAGGTTGTAACAATCGTAAAATGGCCATCGTATGACTGTGCTCAATTTTACAAACTTTGTTGCGTTGGCCGTTAAGCAAACATGGCATTAAGTAAATGCTGTGGTTGTTGTAGGAGAGAAGCAGGTGGGGTCAAACACATCCTCAATTTGGAGTCTCTGTGTTCCTGTAAATCCAGCCCCCCCCAAAAAATCTGTTATTTGGTGCCAGTTTGCTTTGACCATTAGTAGTTCAGAATCTTCTGTATCAGTAGCGTAAAATCAATTTGTAGTTAGTTTGAATTCTACTATGGTTCCTGACTTCTTGCACCTGACAATTGTTAAGTGAACCCATAAGGTTCATTAAGCGAACTTCAAATCGAGGTTGTAAGCCCCTTTTGGGGGGGGGTCAGTTGTAACTTTGAATGGTTGCTAAGCTAGTCATGAGTTAAGCTAGTCCAGGGGTAGGCAGCCTTGGCTCTTTTATGACTCGTGGACTTCAACTCCCAGAATTCCTGAGCCAGCATGGCTGGCTCAGGAATTCTGGGAGTTGAAGTTCACAAGTCATAAAAGAGCCAAGGTTGTCTTCCCCTGAGCTAGTCATGAGTTAAGGGCTACCTCTGCCACAGCCCTATAGAATATTCATATATTTATACAACTCACATCCCAAAACTGCAGCTTTGAGTGAAAACTCTTCTTAAAATAGGAATCCTTTTTGTATAAAAAGCTGGCCCTTTTACGCTAATCCAATCTAACCTAATGCTTGTCTTTCCAACAGGGCAACAGAGAGGAAGCAGATAGCCCAAGTACAGGTATTGGTGCTTTCCGCTTCATGTTGGAGTCCAACAAAGGGAAATCCATGTTAGAGTTCCAGGTATTCTTAATTGGATTATGCAATCCAGACTTTTGCTGCTAAAACCTGACCTACTGACTTAATTACGAGTAACTGTTTAGGAAGAGGAGATGCAAAATATGCAGGAGAGGTGGAATTGGCACAGAAATGTAGGATCGTTATTCTTCTTCCTAATTTGTTGACCAACTCAGGACTCTGAAATAATCATCAGATATCCTAAGATTAAAAGCCTGTTGCAATGCCTTTATAAGAAATGCTTAAGGAATTAATGTTTGTGACACGGGCGAATTCATTCGATGGTAACCTGAAAATCTGTTTCTGACATGATCAGAATTAGATTTTTAAAAAAGTCTGGAAACCTCCAGAGTATTGTTGAATGATGAATCACCCAGTAGTTTTTTATGTTAACAAATTGAAGGGCAAATTATCTTGTGCGATATTCAGAAACGGAACACTCAACAGGAGACGGAATGGCTTTGGGCACATCTAGTCTGCTGATAACCATGTTCAAAATTGGCCTGCTTTTCTTTGCCAGGAGCTAATGACAGTTTTCCAGCTGCTACACTGGAATGGTAGCCTTAAAGCCATGCGGGAGAGGCAGTGTTCACGACAGGTAGGTTTGTTTAAAGGATCTGCGGGTTTTGTGCAGCGGACAGAAGCCGAAGTGCCTCCGGCATGGCTGAACATCTTCGCTATGAGCTTCCTGAAGCTGCTGGAACTCGGTACCACCTGGAGGGCTGCAAGTTCTCCTCTGTTTTAAAGCACCTTTGGTCTCTGTGGAAAACAAAGCCACAAACGAAGGTTTCCTGTGGCTTGGAGAAGTGAGTGAAATGGAGAAGCTGCGTTTTTTACTCCCTTTAATTTAAGCCAGAAGACTCTGAGCTCGGACTAATTCCACTTGTCCACCCTTGATCGAAATAAAAAATTGGGAATAGGCTCTAGCAGCAAGTTACAGGTAGTCCTTGACTTACAACAGCATGTTGACTGAGATAAGATAAGATAACCTTGTCATTTTTTTTTACTGTGGGCACAACGGCACACATCAAAAATGAAATTTAGTTGCCCACTCTCAAAGTGAAACACATACATGACACACACCTAACCATTCAAAGTTACAATGGCACTGAAAAAAAGGGACCATTTTTCACACTTGTGACTGTTGCAAGCATCCCTACGGTAACACGATTAAAATTCAGACGCTTGGCAACTGATTCATATTTACGACGGTTGCAGTGTCCCGGAGTCACTGACAAGCGAAGCTAAGGGAAAGTCAGATTCACTTAACAGCCGGGTTACTAATTTAACAACTGCAGGGAGTCACTTAACAAATGTGGCAAGAAAAGATGTAAAATAGGACAAAAGTCCCTTAACAAATTTCTCACTTAGCGACATAAATTGTGGTCATAAGTCGAGGACTACCTGTACTAATTGCCAGGGACTACTTTTTTCCCTCTTCTTTGTATATGATTGCTCCAGTTCTTTTACCAAGAACCTAGTCATGTCTGCCTTGGTCACTTACTGTTCCATATTTTTGTGTGAGTTATTTGAAGGGCGACATAAGGCAGATATGTCAAACACAAGGCCCGGGGGCCGGATGCGGCCCGCGAAGTGGTTTCATGTGGCCCACGAAGCCATCCTGGAAACAGTGAGGGAACGGCCCCCGCTGCCTTGGCCCTGGCCCAGTACAATTTTGTGGTGGCCATCTATGCTGAAACGCATTCAGTCTTAGCTCCACAAGGCCGTCTGGAAACAGCGAGAAACCAGGAGAACCTTGAGCAGCAGCCTTGAGGAAGTGGGGCTGGGCTTGGTGTCGCGGGCGCTCAAGGGCCAGGCTGGGCATTTGACCTCTGCTGCCCAGGGCTCCGGGCAGCCCGCACCACCATCCAGCCCCCCCCCCGGCATGGCCTGAGAGGAACTGTGAGGCTCCTCCAGTGGACCATGCTTTGGCGCTTGCCCCGGTCCCCCCCCCTTCTGCCAGAGACCCTCAGATCTGTCCCACTCCTGCCCAGGCCCCCACAGGCACCCTTGACGCGAATGATGTAGAACTGGCCACACCCACCCAGTAGGCCACACCCACTCCATCCACGCCCACCCAGTAGGCCACACCCACCCGTCCCCGAGGGCAACCGCAATGCTGATGCGGCCCTCAATGAAATTGAGTTTGACACCCCCTGACTTACGGCATGAAGCCGTCTGCCTGACTGGAGAGAAACCTCTTTGCTGGTTCTGGAATTTGGGAGAGCATCTTTTTCCCCATTCATGTCCTCTCTCTCTCTCTCCTCCCCCCACCAGGAGGTGCTGGCACACTATTCCCACCGTGCTCTGGATGATGACATACGGAACCAGATGGCAACGGACTGGGTCAACCGGGAGCAGAACATCCCAGGGGCCCTTTCCAGGGAGCTGGCCTCGACAGAGCGGGAACTGGATGAAGCTCGGCTCGCCGGAAAAGAGCTGAGATTTCACAAGGAGAAGAAAGACATCTTGATGTTGGCTGCTGGCCAGCTGGGGAACATGCATTCTTCCAACTGCTAGGACCCCAACGTAGCCCTTCCTCTCTCCTTTCACTCCTCTCTCTTCCTACAATAGTTTGCTGAAGAGGTCGAAAGGAATGTTACAGATACGAAGAAGCCCAGAATTCAACCAGATTTTTTCCCTAATTTTATGGTGCAATGTTGATGTTTGCGTTTAGGAGACTTTAGTGCAGAATTTGATCCTAATCTTAATTGCCTTAATTTTTTTAGTTCTAAGTGTAAGGTATCCTCCAATTAGGGAAGGAAACCTGAATTAACATTTTGGAGGGGAAAAAATGTTGAGTTTGTTCAGAACTTGGCTTCGATTCTAATCACCTGAACTGTTGTCACTGAACAGCCTCCGAGGCCTCATTTTCCAAGAACAGACGGCCAGTTGCACATTTTTTTAAAAAACAAAAATCGTTAAAAATTCTGTATAGATTTTATACTTGGACCTCTTTGGTTCTCTTTTTCTCTCTGCTGAAGAACTTTTCGTAGAACACACTTAACAATGTAGCCTTTCTGGAGAAATAGTCTCGTGCTCAAATCTTGATTCTATCCAGGTATTGTACAGATATCAGTATTCTGTAGAAAAGTAACGCTGCCAAAATAATGCCAGTGTTTGTTATTAGGGTATAATGCAGGGGTAGGCAACCTTGGCTCTTTTATGACTCGTGGACTTCAACTCCCAGAATTCCTGAGCCAGCCATGCTGGCTCAGGAATTCTGGGAGTTGAAGTCCACGAGTCATAAAAGAGCCAAGGTTGCCTACCCCTGGGTATAATGCATTGATATATGTTACGCAAATACGTAGCTACAGTTAAAGTACTTCGATATACACCATCTTATCACTTATAAGCACAGCACTTAAAACACTCATTTCCGTTCTGGTCCAACCACCACTCAGATTGTACTTTAACTGAATAATGCTGCATTTTGAGCGGCATATTAATCTGCTGGGTGGTCTCGCCGCAAAATTCCCTGGTGCTCCCTAAATTACAAGCATAAGGCACTTATTTTCTTCTTTTCAGTCAATCAGTCTGTCAGTCAATCAGAATGGAGCTGGAAGGGACCTTGGAGGTCTTCTCATCCAACCCCCTTCTCAAGCAAGAGACCATTTCAGACAAGTGACTGTCCAGTCTCTTCTTAAAACCTTCCAGCGATGGGGCACCCACAACTTCTGGAGGCAAGCTCTTTCCACTGGTTAATTGTTCTCACTGTTGGGAAGTTTCTCCTTAATTCCAGGTTGCTTCTCTCCTTGATTAGCTTCCACCCATTGTTTCTTGTCCTGCCTTCAGGTGCTTTGGAGAATAAGTTGACCCACTCCTTTTTGTGGCAGCCTCTCTCAAATACTGGAACATTACTATCGTGTAACCCCCAGTCCTTCTTTTCACTAGACTAGACATACCCAGTTCCTGCAACCGTTCTTCATATATGTTTTTTCTTTTATTTGCGTTATGCAACCCATCCAGTAAATTCATTGAGGGCTTTTATTCAGCAGAAATCGGGGCCAAACACGTCACTACGGAAGTGCTGTGATGGTTGTCAGTGTGAGGATGGTCCTCCCTTTTTTCAGTGCCATTAACTTTGAAGAGTTGCTACACTAATATCGTAAATCGAGGACTATCTGTATTGACTATGACTTAATTTTACGTTGTTTTGTTCAGGGTTTACTTTCAAAGTCTCCGGACACTTAGAGAATGTTGGTCTCCTGCATGTCAGGTTAGTTTGGTTCTTTGCTGTTTTTTTGTCATGCATAAGCAAGCTTCAAGCCCTAATCCGGTACAAAAACGTGGCATAAGAGATCTCTTGATCAAAAGCTTCAGGCCCTCTCAACGTAAACGGAACAATTTGCAAAAGATGGGTGGTCTGTTCTGGTTTATGGTTATAATAAAGATTTGATTGACTGGTGGAATTATTAACTGGTGATCAGTGGGCTCAAGAAAACATTCTTTGGTCTTCAGATCTTCAATACCTTGTCATTTGCATACATGAAGTAATAAAATAATATCCTTTTTTATATATATATATATTTATATATTTTATACATAGCTATTGTTTACACAATATTAATGTTTAAAGCATTTATAAAGTTAGCTTGTAACTAAAATTCTTTGAAGACGAATGTGTACAGGAATGTCTCCTGTGTTCACCCTGGCCTGGCCAACTGGTAAGTTACCGTATTTGGGTTATTTTTTCTTGCCCGAATCTATCCAGAGACAGTCTGAATAGTTTTGAAAACTGAATAGCACAGTTTTCACTTGACCCAAACGTGAATACTGTACTTCCTTCTGGTGCTGTTTTTTTTTTCTGACCATTCTGTTTCCTGTAACTATTGATAATCTCCAGATTATCCATGCAGTGTTACCCTTTTATGCTGCTTGTCTCTTTCTTGATTTGTGTGTTCGGGATTTCTTTTGTAATGCGTAGCTTTGTGTAATAAACAGGATTTGGGAAAAGTTCTTTCTCTTGTTCTTTCCACTGTTTGGAAGTGAAGCCTTTTTAGAAACATTTGGATCTTATCTGCTCCTCCTGGACAGACGTGGCCATTGGGCTGCAGGAATATCAGTACCAAGTGATGCCTTATTGTGGAGCTGAGGAAAAAGAGAGGTCCTTTCTCAGCAGTAGCCTTCCTGCGGCCACTGCCCACATGAAGGGGTCTGTCCATTCAAGCAGGAAGCTTGCCAAGCCTCTCTACCCATTCCTTTTTTTAAGAATTAACACTTTTGCAAATCTTATGTGGATGTACTCATGGGCACACCCACACGCCTTTCAGATAGTCAGGACCCAGGTGAGCCAAATCAAGTCAATATTTATTACAGTCAAAAGACCAGAGCGAGTTAAAAACTCTCAAGGAACATCCAGTTAAAAAAATTATAGAATAAAATAATAAATGACAGATAACATCTATATTAAAATCACAATTTGGCATCCAATCTGTCAGTTGCCCCCAAGCAAAACTCAGCATGGCCTAGCTATAATATAATTTCAATCCTTACACTGTGAGGCCCATCATCATTAAATACTAAAATGCAAGAGGGGGATAATACAAAACGGTTTGCTGCATTGTGTAAAATCACTAGGATGGATTAATCACCCGTTTCCGACAAATCCCCAGTGCTGCTGTGCAGAATCTATCCAGCTGTGCTGTAATCGCACAGCGATTTGATCAGACGCTGGAGATAAGCAGTGTCGGAACGGTCCAAATACCTATCAATTATTGGGAAGATAAGGGTTTTTTCGAATATCTCTATAAAAAGAGCATTGAAGGAGGATGTGTCCGGCAGACCCTGGTGATCACTGACAAGTCCATGCAGTTTTTTCGGCAACGTTTTCAGGAGTGGTTTACCCTTGCCTACTTCCTAGGGCTGGAAGGGAGTGACTGGCTTTGTACGTAAGGTAGGACTAGAACTTAAGTTGTTTGTAGCCCAGTCTGATTTCTACACCAAACCAATTTTCTCAGCAAATTTGATAACTCCTTGAACAAGAGATACAGCTTATTTTAAAATGTTTTTGCCAAGCTCCTCAAATTTATCAAGGCTGATCTGTGGGTTTGTAATAAAAGTTTCATATCTAAATGCAAGTCCGTGAAGTACGGCATGCTTTACTGTAGATGATCTGTGGCAGAGCCAGGAGAAAGAGGATGCTTTGATTCTTGTGCTCCTTGATCTCTCACCGGCTTTCAATACTGTTGCCATGGTATCCTGAGCTGTCTCCATCCCTCCAGAATTGCCTGCAGCTTCTTCCTCTGTTGCTGCTGCTCACAGCCACAACTGAGCCCAAAATCCTTGTTGCTAAGTGAAATAATAGAATAAAAAATAGAATAGAATAGAATAGAATAGAATAGAATAGAATAGAACAGGAGCTGGAAGGGACCTTGGAGGTCTTCTAGTCCAGCCCCCTGCTCAAGCAGGAGAACCTCTACCGTCCCAGACAGGTGAATGTCCAGTCTCTTCTTGAAAATCTCCAGTGAGGGAGCGCCCATGATTTCTTGTGGCAAGCTGTTCCACTGGTTGATTGTCCTGACTGTCAGGAAGTTTCTCCTTAATTCCAGGTTGCTTCTCTCCTTGATCAGTTTCCAACCATTGTTTCTCGTCCTTCCCTCTGGTGCTCTGGTGAACAACCTGACCCCCTCTTCTTTGTGGCAGCCCCTCAAATACTGGAATACTGCTATCATGTCTCCCCTATTTCTTCTTTTCTTTAGACTGGCCAAACCCAAGTCCTGCAGCCATTCTTCATACGTTTTGGTCTCCAGGCCTTGGATCGTCTTAGTTGCTCTTCTCTGAATTTTTTCCAAGGTCTCAACATCTTTTTTGTGATATGGTGACCAAAATTGGCTGCAGTATTCCAGGTGTGACCTTACTAAGGATTTATAAAGCGGTACTAATACTTAAGGGAATCTTGCCCCATTTTATGACCCTTTTATGCCACCATTGTTAAGTGAATCACCGCAGTAGTTGTTCGTAACCCGGTCATTAAGTCAAACTGGCTTCCCCATTGCTTGTCAGAAGGCCATAAAAGGGGATCACGTGACCCTGGGACACTGCGACCCTCATAAATACGAGTCAGTTGCCAAGCATCCAAATTTTGATCACGTGACTATGGGGATGCCGCAACGGTCTTAGGTGAAATATGAAAGCCGCCATTTGGAATTTGGCGCTGCAATTCCCGGCGGCGCCGCAAGGGGCGGCCTGGGACGCCTCCATCGTTCCGAGGAAAAGCCTTCCCAAAATGGCGCTCTGCCCCAGGAGCTCCGTCTCCGAAGCTGCCGCGCAGACTCAGTAAGCCCTCTTGTAGGTCGGACCTTCTCTAAATGGCTGCCGGGACCGCTCTCTGCCTTCAGGAGCAGGCTGCACTTCCTGTCCCGGCCGGAAGCCATCCCGTCATCCCTTGCGAGGCCGGCGGCAGTAGTTTCGACGGCCGCTTTGGAGAAACCTCTTTTGGTGGGCCGACATGGCTGACGTGCTGGACCTTCACGAGGCGGGCGGCGAGGACTTCGCCATGGACGAGGATGGCGACGGTACGGCTCGCGCCATTCCCCTGCTTTAGCTTCTTTAGCGGCCGCCCGCGTCGCAATAGCCCTGCGAGGTGGGCCGCGGAGGCTGACGAGCTGCGCATGCGCGCTGCTTTTATTCCTTTCAGTACATCATTTCCCATTTCTCAATTTTAGCGAGCGCTTAAGACGGCCATTAAACACATTTCACTGATTATTTACTGAAATGTCCTGACTGGGGGAAGAATTAGCCAGTGGAACGGCTTGCCACCAGAAGTTGTGGGTGCCCCATCACTGGACAGCCACTTGTACAGGGTCTCCTGCCAGAGCGGGGGTTGGGTTGGGCTAGATGACCTCCAAGATCCCTTCCAGCTCTGTTATTCGGTTATCTCTGTTATTTTCTTGAGCATTCAAGAGCTCAACTAGCGTCCTGCACACTGCATGAGAGAGAACGGGTCTTGAGGTGGTTGTGTGGCTTACTCTTTTGTGTATTTGAAAAATGTTATCCTACATCCCTCAGTGATCTTTTCTAAAGATTAAACGTACTCAAATTGCCTTGGGCCTCTCCTCCATTTGTCTGAAATGGTCTAGGGCAGGGGTAGGCAACCTTGGCTCTTTTATGACTCGTGGACTTCAACTCCCAGAATTCCTGAGCCAGCCACGCTGAGGGGAAAGGGAGAGGCTTCCAAGCTGAGCCGTGCTGGCTCAGGAATTCTGGGAGTTGAAGTCCCCAAGTCATAAAAGAGCCAAGGTTGCCTACCCCTGGTCTAGGGTCCCCTGCTTGAGCAAGGGGTTGGACTAGAAGACCTCCAAGGTCCCTTTCAACTCTGCTATTTTGTTCTGATTATATTGTACACCACCCAGAGCCCCTCTCCGAGGGAGCTGGACGGTTGAGGAATATGAAGTATAAATAAGTAGGAAATTAGTAAAGGAAATGTAAAACCGAAGTTTAAATGCTTTATATGTTCATGTTCAAATCATGTTTTAGTTAAAAAGCTGTTTTCCCTGATCTTCTACTGATGGGCTTATTTTCCCTGTGTGTGAATTCTGGGTTCTTGTCTTTGTTTTTATTCTTTTTTTTTTTTGCACGTAACAGTTAAGCGGCTTCTTCTGAATGTTGTTAATTTTCACTGAAGATCCCACTAGGGAACTTTCTTTCAGGTCATCTAGCTGTCCTGTGATTGTAGGGCAGAGGACCCTTTTCTTAGCTTGTTGGTTCTGTTCTTAGCATTAATTTTTTTTCTGGTATTTACTTATAATCGGCTTCCTATTACAGGTAATCCTTGATGAACACCCACAATTGAGCCCAAAATTTATGTTGCTAATTTGTTAAGTGAGTTTTGTCCCACTTAACAACTTTTCTTGCCACAATTGCTAAGTGAATCACTGCCATGGATAAGTTAGTAACCCGGTTGTTAAGTGAAGCTGGCTTCCTCATTGACTTTGCTGGTCAGAATGTTGCAAAAGGGGATCACGTGACCCCAGGACACTGCCACCGTCATAAATATGAACCAGTTGTCAAGCATCTGAATTTTGATCACGTAACCGTGGGATGCTGCAGCAGCCACACTTTTTTTTAGTGTTGCCGTAACTTTGAACAGTCATTAAATGAACTGTTGTAAGTCGAAGACTACCTGTACCTAAATCTGTCATTCCATGTTCTGCACTCCGGGATGGAAGGGGGCAATGAGTTAACTTCTTATATGTGGGATTTTTTCAGGCTTTGAAGAACATCATGTCCCCACATAATCCTTTTTGTATGAAGAATAAACAGTCCACGTTTCTTCATCTCTTGTCACAATTCAACTTGTATAGGTAGTCCTCGACCTATGTCCACAGTTGAGCCCAACATTTCCATTGCTAAGCAAGACAGTTGTTAAGTTTTGCCCATTTTGCGTCTTTTACTGCTGTAGTTGTTAAGTGAATCACCGCAATTGCTAAGTTAGTAAACACGGTTGTTGAGTGAATCTGGCTCCCCCATTGACTTTGCTTGTTGAAGGTCGCAAAAGGGGATTGCACATGATCCCGGGACGCAGCGACAGTCATAAATATGAGTCAGTTGGCAAGCACCTCAATTTTGATCACATGACCATGGGGATGCTGCAACAGCCGTGTGAAAAATGATCATAAGTCACTTTTTTCAGTGCTGCTGTAACTTTGAACAGTCACTAAATGAATGGTTGTAAGTCGAGACTATCTGTATTGTGAATTGGGCTTTCAGAGTGACTGTGCAGTCATTACAAGCGAAGCGTTTTCCATTCTTTGTTGTTAACTGATCCAAATATATTTGATTTCTCTTCAGAAAGCATCCACAAATTGAAGGAAAAGGCGAAGAAAAGGAAAGGCAGAGGTTTTGGGTCAGGTAAGTTGTTCTTTCAGCTTAGCTGCAGTTGGTCATGAGGACTAGCAACCAGGAGACTGTATGTTCCAGTCCCACCTTAGGCACAAAAATCGATTGGGTGACTTTGGACCAGTTATACTCTCTTAGCCTAATTTACCCCCACAGGGTTGTTGTTTTGGGGGGGAAAAGGAAGGAGAATTGGGTACGTTTGCCACCTTGAATCACTTATCTGAGTGATAAAAGATATTTTATTTATGAAAATGGTAAAGGTGGGATATAAATAAATATAAATAAATGGTATTGCCTGTGACATGTTCCATCCCATTCTACACGAGATACAGGCATGGTTTGGGACCTAGATAGTTAAAAATTTGTGCTTGACCAACACTAGAACAGAATAAAAGTTTGTTTGTGTCATCACTGTGAGGTTTTTCAAAGGCACGTTCCTCCCAAGCTGTGAGAAATTAAACTGGTTTTGCCATCCCTAGAGCAGTGGTGGCACAGTGGTTAGAATGCAGCATTGCAGGCTAATTCTGCCCACTGCCGGCAGTTCGATCCTGACCGGCTCAAAGTTGACTCAGCCTTCCGTCCTTCCGAGGTCGGTAAAACGAGGACCCAGATTGTTGGGGGACAAGAGGCTGGCTTTGTAAACTGCTTAGGGTTGTAAAACACTGAAGCAGGATATACGTCTAAGTGCGGTTGCTCTCTCCCCTTGTCTGGGAGGCGAGGTGTGCCATGTAGGTTTCCCACTTGCTATTCTTTGAGAGTAAGAACCAGCTTACAATACCTCCGGGAATGTGTTCAGTTGCTACTTGTATTTAATTACATATGGTGTGTGTGTGTGTGTGTGTGTGTGTGTGTGTGTGTGTGTGTATGTGTCAAAAGTTTAGTTTCTCTCTAAAACCCATTTTCTGTTTTTTGCTCCTGGGCGTATCCGAACAGAAGAGGGCTCCAGAGCCCGCGTTCGTGAGGATTACGACAGTGTGGAACAAGATGGCGACGAACCGGGTCCTCAGAGATGTGAGACGACGCCCTTACTTTTTTCTTCCTTTTAACGCAGTGGTTCTCAACCTTCCTAATTCCGCGACCCATTGGCCCCCGCCCCGCCGCGACCCTAACCACGCCCATTCACTCCCATCCTTGCCCCGCCCCCACCAGCATGATGCCGCGCGTGCTGGGCGAAGGTATGATGAAGCGCCGGGTGTTCTCCAGCGCGCTGGCCAGCAGGAAAAGCAGCAAGGTGATGGGCCACAACGGGAACGGTTCTCCGGGCGGACGGAACCGCAGCAGCACCAGCAGCACCTCCACGACCAGAGTGGTAGCCAACATTGCACCGGCGCACACAGGCAGCACCCTCTGGTCCCAGTCGCGGCCTTCCATGGCGGCGGCAGAGCGCGTGCGTGGCCCACGCGCCTCTCTTCCGGCTTCGCTTCAGCCGCCACTTCCCGCTCAAATCGCTCAGCCAATCGGTGGCGGCAGCCACTCCTAAACCCGCCTTTTGAGCTGATTCTATCCAATCGGCGCTCTGACTTCGGAGACTTTCCTTGTTTACCTCAGCAATTTGCCTTGCTGACAAGTGTGTCAGGGATGCGATTCTAGCCAAGTGTTCAAACAATCATATTGTTCTTAACAGGCAGCCGTAAAGGCCTATTATTGTATGGGCAAATGCTCTTCATCTGGACCTGTGTTTAAATCTGACTCCTCCATCTTGAAAACGACCCCTGTGAAAGGGTCGTTCGACCCCCAAAGGGGTTGCGACCCACAGGTTGAGAACCGCTGTTTAGTGTGTCAACAGTTTCCCTGTGCGCGTTTCAAATGGTCCTTCACTTTGAGCCTCATCTTTTTTTGACCCTTTGTGTCTCTCCAGCGGTGGAAGGTTGGATCCTCTTTGTGACGGGCGTGCACGAGGAGGCCACTGAGGAGGACATTCATGACAAGTTTGCTGAGTTTGGGGAGATCAAGAACCTCCACTTGAATCTTGACCGGCGGACAGGCTATCTGAAGGCATGTATGAGTGGGGCAGCTTGTGGGGCTGGTTCTTCCCAGAGAAAGGCGTAGGGAAGTCACCGAATGGTCATTTAGGCTCAGCTGGGATGGAAAACACATTCAGTGTTCTGATGAGAGGCTCTTGGGAGCGACAGGTATTCCTGATTGCCCGCTTTCTTGACGTGAGGCGAGTTTACAAACGACAGGTAGTCTCCGAGTTACGACCGCAGTTGAGCGGGTCAGCAGGCTGAAGGGGAGGGGGTCGCCCCAGGAGAGGTAGTCCTCGACTCAACGACTGCAACGGAGCCCCAAATTTCTGTTGTTAGACGAGATGTTTGTTAAGTGAGTTTTGCCCCATGTTATGACCTTTCTTGCCACAGTTGTTAAGTGAATCCCTGCAGCTGATTAGTTAGGAACCAGATTGTTAAGTGAATCCGGCTTCCCCATTGGCTTTTCTTGTCAGAAAGTTGCAAAAGGGGATCACGTGACACCCCCCCCCCCCAGGACACTGCAGCCGTCGTAAATATGAGCCAGTTGCCAGGCATCTGAATTTTGATCACGTGACCATGGGGATGCCACAAAGGCCATAACTGTGAAAATGGTCGTAAGTCGCTTTTTTCAGTGCCGTTGTAAACTTTGAATGGTCACTAAATGAACTTGTAAGCCTGTACTAAGCCAACCTTTGGTTTGATTGTGGCATAATCTGTGACTAACTCTCTAAACCGTGGCTAAGGAAGTCAAGATAGTCACAGATTTGCCAGGAATCAAGAGAGTAAGGCCTGCTTGAATGAATCCTTTGGGCTGATAGCATGTTGTTGGGAGCGCTCACACCTCTTTCCCAAATGTCTTGCAGGGTTACACGCTGGTGGAATACGAGACCTACAAAGAGGCCCAAGCCGCCATGGAAGGCCTGAATGGGCAGGACCTGATGGGGCAGCCCATCAGCGTGGACTGGTGCTTCGTCAGAGGCCCTCCGAAAGGAAAACGAAGGTGGGGGGGGGTTTGAAGCCCACGAACAAACTTTCAGTCTGCCAGATGTGCACCAAGTCTGTGTGTACCTTCTGGGAATGCGAAGTAGTTAAAGTACAATAGTTAAAAGTACTCTAGAAAGAGTACAGAGAAGAGCAACAAAGATGATTAGGGGACTGGAGGCTAAAGCATATAAGGAAAGGCTGCTGGAATTGGGTATGTCTAGTTTAACGAAGAGAAGGACAAGGGGGGACATGATAGCAGTCTTCCAGTATCTCAGGGGCTGCCACAAAGAAGAGGGAGTCAAGCTATTCTCCAAGGCGCCTGAAGGCAGGACAAGAAGCAACAGATGGAAACTGATCAAGGAGAGAAGCAACCTGGAACTAAGGAGAAACTTCCTGACAGAACAATTAACCAGTGGAACCACCTGCCTCCAGAAGCGGTGAATGCTTCATCGCTGGAGGTTTTCTAAGAAGAGACTGGACAGCCATTTGTCCGAAATGGTATAGGGTCTCCTGCTTGGGCAAGGGGTTGGAGTAGATGACCTACAAGGTCCCTTCCAACTTTATCATTATTATTATTATTATTATTATAAAGGCGTAGGGCAGTCACCGAATGGTCATTTAGGCTCAGCTGGGATGGAAAACACATTCAGTGTTTTCAAACACTGAAAATGGAGGAATTTCCTCAGTGCGAACAATTCGTCAGTGGAACAGCTTGCCTCTCGGAGTTGTTCTGGGTGCTACATCAAGGGAGTTCTCGGGAAATGATTGCAGAATCATTTGTCTGGGATGGTATGAGGACTCCTGTCTTAGAGGGGGTTAGACTAGAAGATCTTCAAGAGCCCTTCCAGTCCCACGATTCTATGATGCATGCATTATTTTTCTTTTATTAAACACGTGGAAATAGGTCAGGCCCTGAATGGATTTGTGTAGCAGAAAAACATTTGCAAATAGCAAGAGACCCTTTCATTTTCTCTTGGTCTGTTTCTGCCTAGGAGCGGCCGTAGAAGAAGCCGAAGTCCTGACCGAAGACGGCGCTGAAACGGCTTCCATTTTGCAACTCCCGCACTGTGAATGCCTCAGACATCACCTTCCTAACTCAACGGGCTGAATTCAAGTGGAGAGATGCAGTCTTGGCAAAGGGGGTTCCCATTTATTTGCCCTAACTGCCACCTGTTTAATTTTATATTAGACCAGGGGTAGGCAACCTTGGCTCTTTTGTGACTCGTGGACTTCAACTCCCAGAATTCCTGAGCCAGCATGGCTCAGCTTGGAAACCTCTCCCTTTCCCCTCAGCATGGCTGGCTCAGGAATTCTGGGAGTTGAAGTCCACCAGTCATAAAAGAGCCAAGGTTGCCTACCCCTGTATTAGACTAATCATTTTTAATTTTTTTCCCCTTAACCTTTTGACTGTTGTTATCAAATGACTTGAGATTTTCATTTTTTCCTGTGTCCTTTGACTTTGCCCGCCTATTCTGTGTTTGTAAAGATAATTCTGGTTTTAAGCCTGTAAAGGATCTCTGAAGCAGCATTCAGAATAAAAGGCTATGGGTTTTTTTAAACTGTGGTAACTCTTTTTTATTACAAAACCCTAAATAGCATAAACATGGTTTACACTTACAACTCCTTGTTCAGGAATCCATTGGATAGTAGATAAGATATAAGATAAGATAACCTTTATTGTCATTTTTTTACTATGGGCACAACGGCACACATCAAAAATGAAAGTTGCCCGCTTTCAAAGTGAAACACATACATGACACACACCTAAACATACTATGTGCAACATATGTATAGACCCACATCCCTACATATACATAGCAAATAAATATTAAATACTGTCCATCTTGAATATATAACGGAAGAAGGAAGCTTGAGAGTTCACAAGGTGTATGGAATGAAACTATGGCTGAATCTGGATGTTCTGCTTCGGATACCACGAAGCCCCCTCCTCCCAGAAGGTAACAAGGAAAACAGGTCGTGAAGAGGATCTGTAGTGTCCCAGATGATCTTACGGACCCTGCTCAAACAACGCTTCTGTGCTATGTCCTGGATGGGAGGAAGGGAACTGCCAGTGATCTTTTCTGCCGTCCTCACCACTCTCTGCACGCCTTACTGTCTGAAGCAGGGATGCTTCCAAACCAGACTGTGATGCTGTATGACAGGATGCTCTCGATCGTCCCCCTGTAGAAAGTGGTCAGGACAGGGGAAGGAAGATGTGCTTTTCTCATGCGACGCAGAAAATGCAGGCGCTGCTGTGCCCGCTTCACCAGTTTCTCACTGTTGAGCGACCAAGCCAGCCTACTCGTTAGCTGCACACCCAGGAATTTGATGCTGGTAACCATCTCCACTGGTGAATCATTAATGCACAGAGAAGTGTGGCTGTGCCTTCCTTTTCTGAAACCGACAATTGATCTCTGGTTTTTCTGGTATTTAAAACTAGGCTGTTTTCCTTACACCAGTTCACCAACCCCTCAACCTCCTTGCGGTAAGCTTCCACCTTGTCATCCTGAACAAGGCCCACTACTGTTGTATCAGCTGCGAACTTTACAATATGGTTGGTGGCAAACAACACAACAGTCGTGGGTCAACAGGGTGAACAGCAGCGGACTTAGGACGCAGCCCTGAGGAGAACCTTTCTAAGTTCTAGAGTAAGAACAGTCACTTGAGATCCTTGAACCCAGGAGCATCCATGCGCAGGCAGGGGGTGAAGTCTTCTGTGGGGATGTGTCTATCTCAGAGGTCCCCAACCTTTTGGGCACCAGGGACCGGTTACATGGAGAGAGGTTTTCCCACGGACCAGAGAGCGTGGTTTTGTGTGCTGCCTGCATCCCACGGATGGGGCTTTGCTTGTTTGTGTGGACCGGTTGCTGGCATTCCGCAGCCACGGACCGGGGGTTGGGGACCCCTGGTCTACATTTTCCCCAACATGGAGAGCCCTTTAAGGCTGAAGACTTTAACTCCCAGCATTCCCATCCCAACATCTGGAATCCCAAAGGAGAGGCAGGCTTGCTCCAGAAACTTACCAAGGCTTGGCTCGGATAACGTTTCAAAGAGTTCAATAATTTTTCGGTCTTGGCCTGGTCTCTACAGCACACCAGGTAGGCAGATCTGCTCCAGTTAGTTTCTGCTGTTCAGGTAACTAAGCACAGGTGATCTGTTTTTCCAGAGTGCATTTGACTCCAGCATACAATTTTGCCTGCTATTGTTTTCTGAACAGCAGTGCGTCAACAACACAATTATAGCGGCTGATCCATGTCCACCCCCCCCTTTTTTTTTTTAACAGCTGCCACCTACTTCCTGCAAGCTTCCCTATCAGTTCTGCAAAAGCTCAGGACTTTTTGCAGAATCACTAAAGTTGAGGAAAAGCAAAAATCATTCCCACTTTTCAATCAGTTCATTATAGAAAAATACAACGTCCTGGAGAACTTCACTGTAGGTCTGTAAATGGAAATGCCCCCATCTTTGAGAATTGTGCTCCATGTATTGTGAAGGGCGCTATGCGCTGTGGGAAGCTGGTTCTGATTGAGGGGTGTCATCTCGGCAACCCACAAAACCTTTTCAAAGCAGCAGAACCTGTTAAAGAAGCCCAGAGAACACGTCCCTCTTCAGAACCCTGATTTTTGAGATGAATTCTGCTCCCTTTAGGAGAAAATCAATCCTCCGAGACGGGTAGCCAAGATGGGCATCTTTGCAATAATTACAATTACATGTAATTATTTAACTTCAGCATACAGGTAGTCCTTGACTTATGACTACAATTGAGCCCAGAATTTATGTTCCTAAGCGAGACACTTGTTAAGTGAGTTTTGCCCCGTTTTACAACTTTTCTCACCACAGTTGTTAAGTGAATCACTGCCGTGGATAAGTTGGTAACCTGGTTGCTAAGTGAATCTGGCTTCCCCCATTGACTTTGCTTGTCGGAAGATCGCAAAAGGGGATCACGTGACCTTGGGACATGGCAACGGTCACAAATTTGAACGAATTGCCAAGTATCTGAATTTTGATCACGCGATCATGGGGATGCGGCATAAGTGAGAAAAATGGTCCTAAGTCACATTTTTCAATGCTGCTGTAACTTCGAATGGTCACTAAATGAACTTGAAGTCAAGGACAACCTGACCTTCCCTGCCTGGGATTGTAACCAGCTTCTGTCAACAGACCCTGGGCTCTGCGCACTGTGGGAAACAGCCCATCCCACATGGCTAGGGTTGGGCCAAACCCGGCTCTTGCGAAGGCGGCCCCCTCTCTTGCAATTTGGGCCACCCCTTCGGCTTTGCACGTAATTTCAAGCAGCCCTCGGCTTACAACACTTCATTTAGTGACCGTTCCAGGTTACAACAGCACTGAAAAACGTAACCGAGGACCATTTTTCACACTTACAACTTCGGCAGCATCCCTACGATCACGTGATTGACATTCGGATGCTTGGCAACTGGTTCATACTTACGACTGTTGCTGAGTCCCGGGGTCCAGTGCCACCTGCTGACAAGCAAAGTCAACGGGGGAAGCCGGATTCACTTAACAACCGTCTTCCTCACTAATCAACGGCGGCCAGAAAGGTGGTAAAATGGGGCCAAACTCCCTCAACGGTCTTGCCTGCCGACAGAAATTGGGGGCCTCCCTTGTGGTCGTAAGCCCAGGACCACCCGTCCTGGGGCTGCCCGCCCACCCACCCCCTTCATCCTGCTGACCCGCCTGGGGCTGAAAGCGTGGCTGAAAGCGGGACGGCAGCAAGGCGAGGGGGCGGGGCGAGGGGCGGGGTCCCGGTTTCCCTCCCTCCCTCCCTCCTTGGCGACGGCTCCTCCCCCTGGTGGCGGGGCGAGCGAACGTGGCAGCCGGCGGAGGCGTCCCCGGCCGAGCCCGCCCCTCCATTTCGCACCGGGCGCCGAGCGGGAGGCCGAGGTGAGGCGGCGCGGGGGTCCTTCCGCTCCCGGAGGGGGAAGAGAAGGGGAGGGGTCTTCGCGGGGGGGGGAGAAATTCTGATCTCATTACGGGCGGGGGTCGCGGCTGCTCCGGTTGGGGGCGGGAGGGGGACTCAGCGCGGCCGCCCACCCCTCACTCCCCCAGGGAAGACTTCGCCCCGTGCCCGCGCATGCGCTCGAGCGCGCGCCGCAGGGGGGGGGAAACGTTGTGGTGGGGGGAGAGGGGGGAAACGCGCACACGCGCGGCAGCGGAGCGAGTCTCCGAGACGTGGCAATGCCGGCCGGCGCGTGCGCAAACGGCCTCCGCCCTTCCCGTGGCGTGTCGGGAGTCGTAGTTCTCTTGGCCTGTGGGCCTGCGGCTTTCTGGCTTGTTTTGTTTTGTTTTTCTCTCTCTTTTCCTCTTTGCTTTTTAGTGTTTTCTTTCTTTAGGGCTGATTCTCTTATTTCTCCCACTTTTTCTTTTTTTCCTCTCTTATTTCCCCCGGGGTTCCCCCCCTCTCCTCATTAGCCCTGATTTACACAAACACTTCATCAGGTAAGTCATCAAATTTGCAGATGACAGGAATATACCAGCTGGCAGGAATACACAACACTCCAGAAGTTACAGGCTTAAGGTACAGGAGGATCTTGACAAACTTGAACACTGGGCGCTATCTAACAAAATGAAATTCAATGGTGAAAAAAGTAAGGTTCTACATTTAGGCAAGAAAAAACAAATGTGCAGGTATAGTATAGGGAGTACCTTGCTCAATAGTAGTAACTATGAGAAGGATCTCGGAGTCCTAGTGGACAATCACCTAAATAGGAGCCAGCCGTGTGCTGCAGCTGCCAAAAAAGCCAACACAGTGCTGGGCTGCATTAACAGAGGGATAGAATCAAGATCACGTGAAGTATTAATACCACTTTACAAGGCCTTGGTAAGGCTACACTTGGAATACTACGTCCAGTTTTGGTCACCACGATGTAAAAAAGATGTTGAGACCCTAGAAAGAGTGCAGAGAAGAGCAACAAAGATGATTAGGGGACTGGAGGCTAAAACATATAAGGAACGGTTGCTGGAATTGGGTATGTCTAGTTTAACGAAGAGAAGGACGAGGGGGGACATGATAGCAGAGTTCCCATATCTCAGGGGCTGCCACAAAGCATGGGGGTCATCCTATTCTCCAAAGCACCTGAAGGCAGGACAAAAGGCAACGGGTGGAAACTAACCAAGGAGAGAAGCAACCTAGAACTAAGGAGAAACTTCCTGACAGTTAGAACAATTAACCAGTGGAACACCCTGCCTCCAGAAGCGGTGAATGCAACACTGGAAGTTTTTAAGAAGAGACTGGACAGCCATTTGTCCGAAATGGTATAGGGTTTCCTACCTGAGCAGGGGGTTGGACTAGATGACCTTCAAGATCCCTTCCAACTTTATTATTCTGTTATTTTATCTATCTCAGAAGAATGTAAGGCTCTGGGCAGAGTTTGCCTGCAATACTGCACTTAACTACTGCTCCTTAGGTACAAATGACATACAACCATTCATTTAGTGACCAAAGTTACAACGGTACTGAAAAAAGGGACGTATGACCAGTTTTCACACTGTTGCAGCATCCCCAGAATTACGTGATTAAAATTCGGGCCCTGGGCAACTGAACATGTACTTATAACGACTGCAACATCCCACAGTCACATGATCACCATTTCTAAATTTCTCAGCCGGCTTCCAGTAAGCAAAGTCAGTGGGGAAGCCAGATTCAAGCAAGAGCCATGTGATTCAGTTAACAACCGGAATGATTCACTTAGCAACTGTGGCCAGAAAGGTTGTAAAGTCGGGTGCAACTCACGTAACATCTGTCTTGCTTAGCCATGGAAATTTTGGGGTCAATTGTGGTCGTAAGTCGAGGGCTGTCTGTAATTGCATTCACAGGTCCTGCTCAGCTCTGCTGATCTTGACCTTAGTTTTGGGGATGGCTTTCCATGGGCGCCCAACCCCAACTTGTTTTATTTTAATTTGCGTTGTCTTCTGCAAACCAAGAACATTATTCCTCAGTTGATCATGTTCTGTAAATCCAGCCTCGCTCCTGTCATTCCTTTTCCTTTTTGCATTGCTATCTCTCTCTTTCCCTTTTCCTCTCCTCCAGGACAAATTCTGAAACACGATGNGGGGGGGGAATTCTGATCTCATTACGGGCGGGGGTCGCGGCTGCTCCGGTTGGGGACGGGAGGGGGACTCAGCGCGGCCGCCCACCCCTCACTCCCCCAGGGAAGACGTCGCCCCGTGCCCGCGCATGCGCACGAGCGCGCGCCGCGGGGGGGGAAACGATGTGGTGGGGGGAGAGGGGGAAACGCGCACACGCGCGGCAGCCGCGCAGCGGAGCGAGTCTCCGAGACGTGGCAATGCCGGCCGGCGCGTGCGCAAACGGCCTCCGCCCTTCCCGTGGCATGTCGGGAGTCGTAGTTCTCTTGGCCTGTGGGCCTGCGGCTTTCTGGCTTGTTTTGTTTTGTTTTTCTCTCTCTTTTCCTCTTTGCTTTTTAGTGTTTTCTTTCTTTCTTTAGGGCTGATTCTCTTATTTCTCCCACTTTTTCTTTTTTTCCTCTCTTATTTCCCCCGGGGTTCCCCCCCTCTCCTCATTAGCCCTGATTTACACAAACACTTCATCAGGTTCCAATCCTACTATAGCACTTAGACTTGTACCAATGGAGGAGAACATTTGTAGCTCAGAAAGCATCATGGACCCCTCAGTTAGACTTGTACACTGCTCCATAATTCATTTCAGCCCTCTCTGAGTGGTTTAGAATGTCACCATATTGCCCCCAACAATCTGGGTCCTTGTTGTGGGTTAGACCAGAGATCCCCCAACAGTGGCAACTTTTGGGGAATTCTGGGAGTTGAAGTCCACAGCTCTTAAAGTTGCCACAGTTGGGGACCCCTGGGTTAGACTGCATCTACATGAAGGGGGAGTATGCCAAGGCTCTGTAACCCAAGGCTCTGTTTTAGGCCCAGTGCTCTTTGACATCTTCATCAATGACTTGGATGAGGGGATAAAGGGGGAAGTCATCAAATTTGCAGATGACAGGAATATACCAGCTGGCAGGAATACACAACACTCCAGAAGTTACAGGCTTAAGGTACAGGAGGATCTTGACAAACTTGAACACTGGGCGCTATCTAACAAAATGAAATTCAATGGTGAAAAAAGTAAGGTTCTACATTTAGGCAAGAAAAAACAAATGTGCAGGTATAGTATAGGGAGTACCTTGCTCAATAGTAGTAACTATGAGAAGGATCTCGGAGTCCTAGTGGACAATCACTTAAATATGAGCCAGCCGTGTGCTGCAGCTGCCAAAAAAGCCAACACAGTGCTGGGCTGCATTAACAGAGGGATAGAATCAAGATCACGTGAAGTATTAATACCACTTTACAAGGCCTTGGTAAGGCTACACTTGGAATACTACGTCCAGTTTTGGTCACCACGATGTAAAAAAGATGTTGAGACCGTAGAAAGAGTGCAGAGAAGAGCAACAAAGATGATTAGGGGACTGGAGGCTAAAACATATAAGGAACGGTTGCTGGAATTGGGTATGTCTAGTTTAACGAAGAGAAGGACGAGGGGGGACATGATAGCAGAGTTCCCATATCTCAGGGGCTGCCACAAAGCAAGGGGGTCATCCTATTCTCCAAAGCACCTGAAGGCAGGACAAAAAGCAACGGGTGGAAACTAACCAAGGAGAGAAGCAACCTAGAACTAAGGAGAAACTTCCTGACAGTTAGAACAATTAACCAGTGGAACACCCTGCCTCCAGAAGCGGTGAATGCAACACTGGAAGTTTTTAAGAAGAGACTGGACAGCCATTTGTCCGAAATGGTATAGGGTTTCCTACCTGAGCAGGGGGTTGGACTAGATGACCTCCAAGATCCCTTCCAACTTTATTATTCTGTTATTTTATCTATCTCAGAAGAATGTAAGGCTCTGGGCAGAGTTTGCCTGCAATACTGCACTTACTACTGCTCCTTAGGTACAAGTGACATACAACCATTCATTTAGTGACCAAAGTTACAACGGTACTGAAAAAAGGGACGTATGACCAGTTTTCACACTGTTGCAGCATCCCCAGAATTACGTGATTAAAATTCGGGCCCTGGGCAACTGAACATGTACTTATAACGACTGCAACATCCCACAGTCACATGATCACCATTTGTAAATTTCTCAGCCGGCTTCCAGTAAGCAAAGTCAGTGGGGAAGCCAGATTCAATCAAGAGCCATGTGATTCAGTTAACAACCGGAATGATTCACTTAGCAACTGTGGCCAGAAAGGTTGTAAAGTCGGGTGCAACTCACGTAACATCTGTCTTGCTTAGCCATGGAAATTTTGGGGTCAGTTGTGGTCGTAAGTCGAGGGCTGTCTGTAATTGCATTCACAGGTCCTGCTCAGCTCTGCTGATCTTGACCTTAGTTTCGGGGATGGCTTTCCATGGGCGCCCAACCCCAACTTGTTTTATTTTAATTTGCGTTGTCTTCTGCAAACCAAGAACATTATTCCTCAGTTGATCATGTTCTGTAAATCCAGCCTCGCTCCTGTCATTCCTTTTCCTTTTTGCATTGCTATCTCTCTCTTTCCCTTTTCCTCTCCTCCAGGACAAATTCTGAAACACGATGGAAAGTGTCATTCTGTGAACAGGGAATCAGCAAGAGGGCAGGTGAGTGATGCTTCTGGTTAAACACAGGTTGTCCTTGATTTACGGCTAGTCACTTAGGGATTGGTTGAGATTATAACCTACCTGAAAAAGGAGACTTACGATCAGATCTGGAATTCAGAAATGGTATAGGGTCTCCTGCTTGAGCAGGGGGTTGGACTAGATAACTACCGAGGTCCCTTCTAACTCTGTTATTCTGTTAATTCCAACTATCATCCCCTTCTCCCGCAGCCACTTTGGGCAGTCATTTTCAGCCATTTACAGGATCATGTGACCATATTTCATGACAGTTTTACAAAAAAAAACCTGGCACTTCCAATTTTTGGCAAAACCACACCATGGCTCCTATTCTATTCTATTCTGTATTTCTATTCTATTCCTATTCTATTCTATTCTATTCTATTCCTTTTCTCTATTCTATTCTATTCTATTCATGATCATGGCATCCATTTAAAGAACCGCTGCAAAAAAAAAGGCCCCTGTAAAATTGGGTCAGTTGTGTGACCAAACGGTTTTACTTCTGTTCTGACTTATGACCGTAATGGGCAGGCTCCATTATGGTCATAACTCAAGGACTACCTGTAGAGTCTCCAGGATTAGAAGCAGACAGTCTTGTAAAGAATAGTATCAAAGAAAGGAGTACAGGTGGTCCTCAATTTATGACCACGATTGAGCCCAAAATTTCTGTTGCTAAGCGAGACTGCAACAGTCGTGAGTGTGAAAAATTGTCCTTTTTCAGTGAGGTTGTAACTTCGAACTGTCATTATGTGAACTCTTGTAAGTTGAAGACTATCTACATTGATTCCATATCTTGTTTATTGATTTATTTGGTTGGCCCTTGTTGCATTCTGGGTTCCTCTTTTCCTGAATATGTTTTTTCCTTTTGCCCCAGGATTGTATTGCTGAAAAAAAAAAATGATGGAAGAGAGCGGGATAGAGACAACGCCCCCCACGACTCCCCCGCCCACCACGGCCTGGGCTGCTGCTCCTCCTGTACCCCCAGCCTCACTAGGTATCACCTTTCCAACCATTTCCTAGCTTCTTCCTTCTCGCACCCAGAACCTTCCCGATTTCCCCGAAGTGGCTCAAAGCAAAAGTTGGAAAAGACGTGTGTGGGGCGGGAAGGGCTTGTTAAACAATTGTGGGTGACACCACCCAGCTAGACAAAGTTTTTTCTTTTAAGCAAGGAAGTTAATTTCACCATCTTGGCAGCTCCCATGAACTTCACCATCCATTCTTTCGTTGTGGGAATCCTGTCAGTCTTTTCCATCTCCCTACACCAGGGGTAGGCAACCTTGGCTCTTTTATGACTTGTGGACTTCAACTCCCAGAATTCCTGAGCCAGCATGGGGGAACTATGGCCTCTTCATGACTTGTGGACTTCAACTCCCAGAATTCCTGAGCCAGCATGGCTAAGCATGGCAACCTCTCCCTTTCCCCTCAGCACGGCTGGCTCGGGAATTCTGGGAGTTGAAGTCCACGAGTCATAAAAGAGCCAAGGTTGCCTACCTCTGCCCTACACACAAAAGTCTTGCTGGGGGAATTTGCTACACAGGTAGTCCTCGGGTTACGATCCCGATCAATTGAGCCCCAAATTTATGTTGCTAAGTGAAACATTTGTGAAGTGAATTGTGCCCCATTAACGACCCGCAGTTGTTAAGTTAGTCACACGGTTGTTAAGTGAATCTGGCTTCCCCACTGACTTTGCTGGAGGTCAGGAGGTCGCCAAAGGGGATGACATGATCCTGGGACACTGCTACCGTCGTAAATACGAGTCAGTTTCGATCACGTGACCATGGGGGAATGCTGCAACGGTCGTAAGTGTGAAAAATGGTCCTAAGTCTCTTTTTTTAGTGCTGTTGTAACTTTGAACGATCACTAAATGAACTGTTGTAAGTTGTGGATTACCTGTGTATGTGTGTTTGTGTGTGTGTTCTGGAAGAAGGGAAGGGCAGGCCACATCTGTTTAAAAACTGCACCAGCGTTGAACGCAACTTAGAGGAAAGGCGAGTTTCGCGTTTGCATGGCGGAGACATAATGAGATGTTATGGGGTGCAGTTTGCCTGCGGCCCTGCTCCCCCATTCGTGCAGGCACTGCTTTTTCTCCCATGCTTCAAAGGAGTTTGTTTATTCATACAGGCAGTCCTCGACTTACAACGGTTCATTTAGTGACGCTTCAAAGTTACAACAGCATTGAAAAAAGTGACTTATGACCGTTTTTTCACACTTAAGCATCATTGCAGCATCCTCAGGGTCACGTGATCAAAATTTGGACGCTTGGCAACTGACTCATGACGGTTGCAGCATCCCTGGGGTCACGTGACCCCCTTTTGCAACCTTCTGACAAGCAAAGTCAACGGGGAAGCCAGGTTCACTTAACAACTGGGTTCCTAACTTATCAACTGCCGTGATTCACTTAACGACCGTGGTAAGCAAATAAAATAGGACAACGCTCAGCAAAGGTTTCACTTAGCAACATAAATTTTGGGGTCCGTTGCTGTAACTCGAGGACTAGCGCTATTTCATATTTCCAAATCCCCCTCAAAGAGGATCTCCTGGAGCCAATTTTAACATGCTTTCTTCGTGTTTTTTTTTCCCCTCCCCTGACGGCAGCTGCTCTCGCTGTTCCAAAGGAGCCCCCCTCTTCCTCTTTCCCTCCCCCCGTCTTCTCCCCCACCGCCCCCCCAATGGTCTCCTCCCTCCCTTCTGCACCCCCCACTTCCCTTTTGCCTTCTGCAGCCATCTGCACCAGCCCCCCTCCTGGCATGGCCGGCCCGCCATCAGTCGCTACCCCAATGACCGCTGCTTTTGGTAACCCCGTGACTCAGTTTCCAGCAGCTCCGCCTCCGCCAAGCTCTGCTCCCGGGCCGCCAGGATTCCCCACGCCTCCCACCGGGCCTCCGGTCTCCGGGTTTTCCATGACTTCCAACTATGACATCACTAAAGGCCACGCGGGACGAGCACCCCAGACCCCTCTGATGCCCTCCTACTCGGCCCTGCCTGTCACAGGTACGCGGAGCGCGTTTCTTGCTTCTTAAGATGGTGGGAACCCCAAGCCAGTCCTGTCCCAGGACAGCTGGTGATTTCTCCCCGGCCTGGTCCGGGTCTATGACACTTCGCCCTAGCCGACTCGCTACGGCACAACTCACTGCAGGACAAGAATCACACTAGTATCAAAGAAATGGTGGAATAGAATCATTAAAGGAAGGATGCCAAGGAGGGACAGAACGAAATGTGAATGACAAAAATTAAAATAATTAAATTGTTAAATTGTCCCATGGTGAGTTGTCCCGCTGTCAGGATGCCGCCATTCTGTTGGGAGGGGGGAATCTTTGAGCTATCTGTAATGTATTTCTTTCACTTTGGATTGGCTGGAAATGGACTGGGCGTTTGGAAGGGGTTTTGAAGAGGGATTTAATGTAACGTTTTCGCGCAGGAATATTCAGATCTTGCTTTGCCTCTCTGCTTTCACTCTCTTCCAATAAAAGTTCCTTTTGAAACAATGCCAGTTTCAAGAGTTCTGCTTTCTTGGGAGAACTGGCCGAGGCAGGACTTTACACCCACAGCGAATTGGCCGTGGCAAGTGGTCAATTCCAGCCTGGTCCACCTGTTCCACGATGTCCACAGGATAGCACCAAAAGGAGCCGTTGCATTCTTAGGCTGCGCTTCTGCCCTGTTGTGTCTGCGTCACAGCATTGCAGGCATGCAGAAAAGATGGCGGCACGTGTCCTCCAAGGCTGGTCCTGCTTTTGTCATTTTGAGAAAAAGCATCAGCTTCTGCGGCTCAAAGCCCCTGGCTGTGATGCTTGAGCATTCCTGAGTCTTGTCTGTTTGGATTTACCACAAGGTGGGACCGCACCAGTTCATGCGTGTTGTTTTTTTGATTTTGACAATCAATTTTGACATTTATAAGCAACGACGCCTGGCTGAAACCAGGGGATGTCATGGCTGCAGCCGTACATGCATGTATTCTGATTTTCAGGTGTCTTGACAAGCCCTCTGTCCCAGCCAGTCCCTATGCCTGCGCCCACCTTAGCGAGCGGCTCTTCCATCACTTTTCCGGAGGATCATGGAGACCCCCAAAGCATTGGGGTGCACAACGAAGCATCTGCGGGAGGACTGTGGGGCTTCATAAAAGTAAGGCGTACTTTTCCAGCTGCCACGTAATGTAGTGGTCCCCAGCCTTTGCAGCTTGGTGGCCCAGCTGGGGAGAGGGGAATCAGGTCGTGCAAGAGGCAGGCTGGCATGAGCAGCTTGATGTGCGCGAGCGGCGGGTGGCTCAGGAATTCTGGGAGTTGAAGTCCACGAGTCATAAAAGAGCCAAGGTTGCCTATCCCTGCACTAGTCTAATCACTCTGTTCTTCTGCTCCTGGTTTAGGGCATGCTGAATATCCCATTTCTTCCCCGAAGTAACCATCCACAAAGCTAGCAAAGCAGAGATCAAGCCATGTTTGGGGCCTCAGGTTAGCCTGGCAGGCGAGCCAAATTTAGTGACTTCCACCTTTGTTCCCCCAGGGCGTGGCTGGCAATCCTGTGGTCAAGTCAGTGCTGGATAAAACCAAACACTCGGTGGAGACCATGATTACGACGCTGGATCCTGGCATGGCCCCATATATCAGTAAGGGAAGCTGCAACATCCTCTGTCTTCCTGAACCAGGACTTTGCCTGCTCTTAACTGTCAGGCTCACCCCAGTCACGTCCCTTGAGAAAGAGAGACCCTCGACTCCATATAGGTCAGTGGTGGCAAACCTATGGCATACATGCCAGAGGTGGCACTCAGAGCCCTCTTTGTGGGCACGCGTGCTAGGCCCCGGAGATGGCAACCGTTCCTCTTCAACCAGCCGCCCGAGGTCCCATGTGGCCGGATGTATCCTGGCACGGCTGATTTCCCTCCGCCCCTGTCCCGTCCCTCCGGGCCTCGCATGCTCTCCTTTTCCCAGGCACAACCCACTGCATCGCCTCCTCAGCTGTCGGCCAGCTGTCCAGCTCAGAGGCAGCTTCTCTGAACTGCTGGCTGCAGGCTGCGAGCCCCAGAGTGCGCCGGTTGAGGGGCCAGCAGGCTGTGGCTGCTGACGGACACCGTCAGCCCCCATGCGTTCGCTGGCCTCTGTGTGCGGGGGCCGATGGTGTCAGGCAGCGGCTGCCCCGGCCCCTGCCTCTCCTTGCCCCGTGGCAATGGCACCCCAGCCCTGCCTCGCCTTGCCTCGCCTCACCCCGCAGGATGAGCCTCCTGCCCACCGCCCCACCTGTCAGAGACCCCCTGAATCTCCCCCAACCCTGCCCAGCCCCCACAGGCGTCCCTCCCCACGAGCAACATTGAGGTGACCATGCCCACTTTGGCCACACCAACCCAGTCTGCCATGACCACTACAGCCACGCCCACCCAGTAGGCCATGTCCTATCCGGCACCCGGCGATAAATAAGTGGGTTTTGGGTTGCAGTTTGGGTACTCGGTCTCTAAAAGGTTCGCCACCACTGATATAGGTGAATAGATAGGTTCTTTCACTAAAGGTTGCTGGTTACAGTAAAGTCAGGCTAGAACTAAGATTCCCACGCAACGGTTACAATTTTTCTCTGTCATCCCAGCTCTCCCCCCATGACCAGTTTGTCTTCACCCAATGAGGAGCCACATAGGTGTTTTAGGAAATGCTGAGGTGTTTGGGGCAGTCCACATCCCATTCTCAGGGTGGGTGGCCTTGAAGACCGGCACAAACTGGTTCCAGCTGTCATCCCCCTTCCCTATTTCTCATCACATCCTCATACATGATGGTTGCCCATTTGTCCTCCTCGCTCCCTCTCCCCTAGCCTTTGATGGCAGGACGCCGGCAAGGTGTCAAGCCGAAGATGGCAGAGCTAATATTAACCTTGGTTAGCTCAGCGGTTGGCTGCTGAGGAATTCTGGGAGTTGAAGTCTGCAAGTCTTAAAGTAGCCAAGAGCAACTATGGCACCTTCTGGCTGAGGAATTCTGGGAGTTGAATTCCACAAGTCTTAAAAGTGGCCAAGGATGGAGATGCCTGCTCTAAAGCAGGGACAGGCAACTATGGCACCTGGGGAATTCTGGGAGTTGAAGTCCGCCAGTCTTAAAGTAGCCAAGGTTGAAAACCCCTGGTCTAAGGGACTCTCCAGAGTTTTCTCCAGCACCATCAGTGCTTGGCACTCAGCCTTCCTTCTGGTCCAACACTCACAGCCATCCATCGCTCCTGGGAAAACCATAGCTTTGCCTCTACGGACCTTTGTTGGCCAGGTTTTCAAGTGTCTTGTGTGTTAAAGGTCATCTTCTTCTTAAGTTACGGTGTGGCCATCTTGTTTTGGCCACAAAGGCAATTTTGGGCGTTTCTGCTTCCTAGAATCAGGAGGAGAGCTGGACATCGTGGTCACCTCGCTGAAGGAGATCAAGGTCGCAGCCGTGAGACAAGCTTTCCAGGAGGTTTTTGGCATGGCTACTGTAACAGGGGAGGACGGCCACTCCAACATAGCCCCCCAGCCTGTTGGCTACGCAGCTGGACTGAAAGTGAGTGATTTGGGAAGGTGTTGAATTTTGCAGCACGTTGGCCCTTAAAGGGTCAGGTACACACACAACATGCTGAATTTTCACCCCGGTTTAAGAAAAGACAACGGTTTACCAGACATCCAGAGGACCAACAAGTAAACCAGATAAAGGCTTAATGAGATGGACTGGTTCACATGTTAAGCCAAGACAATCAGGGCTACTGTCAACCTCCAGCTTGAGTGTCCAAGTATGTAATGGAGTCTGAAATTAAACCGATTAAAATACTGGGCTCTCCAAAGTGGGGACAATTCCTGAAGGGTAGCAAAATCCCATTTGAAGTGTGGACAGATCATAAAAAATTAAGAGGCTTTGAAGACTCCGCGGAAACTGTGTCCTGACCTAAACAAGTCAGTGGGCTCAATATTTTAATAGGTTTAATTTCAGTCTCTGTTACATCTCCTCGCCTTACTTGGAAGTTGGCAGGCTGACAATGGATGTGGGGCAGAGCATTCCGCAGCGTGGTGTCCCTCCTTACCACATCGGAAACACGCTTCCAACACAGCTGCTGAATCCCATTTTAAGCCTAGCTGAGCATGTTGTGCAAACTCAACCAGAGAATCATTAGAGTTCTTTTGGGGGGGGGGGGGGAAATCCCAAATAACCAATAAGGTTGATCTGCACATTGTATTAAGCCACGAGGTTTTACTGTGGCTTACCAAATCAGTCACAAATAGCTAAGCTTATGGCCCTTAGCCATAAATCTTGGTTTATCAAGCACAGCCACTTGGTTTATATAATGCAAATATAATTATCACTAATAAATAATAGAAAGGTCTTATACTATATAACATTATATAATTGTAATAACAGTGCTTGGATCCGCACTAAGACAGCGCTGTGTGAATTAGGTATTCAGCAGAGTGATGACACGGGATGGAGGAACTATATGTCTGGTTGTTTTGGCATGCAATGCCCTCTAGCGCCATCCCAAGGGGAGAAGTTGAAACAGTTTATGTCCAGGATTGAGGGGTCTGTAGATATTTTCTCAGCCCCCTTTCTGACCCTTTCCTCAATGGAAAGCAGGCTGGCTGTGATTGTTCTTTCTGCAGTCCTAACTATCCGTTGAAGGCTGCACCTGTCCTGTTTGGTTGCGGTGCCAAACCAGACCGTGATTGAGGTACAAATGAAAGACTCAGTAGTTCCTCTGTGGAGCTGGATCAGCAGCCCCTGGGACAAAAGATAGAATAGAGATAGTTCAGATACACAATTGAAACAGCTCCATTCTGGCTGATCCTTGGGTGATTTCAAGTCATAAATCAGAATCAGAATAGAGCTGGAAGGGACCTTGGATCTAGTCCAACCCCCTGATCAAGCAGGAGACCCTATACCATTCCAGACAAGTGATTGTCCAGCTTCTTCTTAAAAATCTCCAGTGATGGGGCACCCACAACTTCTGGAGGCAAGCTGTTCCACTGGTTAATTGTTCTCACTGTTAGGACATTTCTCCTTAAATTTAGGTTGCTTTTCTCCTTGATTAGTTTCCATCCATCGTTTCTTATCCTGCCTTCAGGTTCTTTGGAGAATAGGCTGACCCCCCTCTTCTTTTTGGTAGCCCCTCAAATACTGGAACAGTATGGCCAGTCTAGAGAAAAGAAGGACCAGGTGGGACTGGCCATACCCAAGTCCTGCAGCCGTTCTTCGTATGTTTTAGTCTCCAGGCCTTTATTCATCTCAGTTGCCCACCTGTCTTCTCTAAAGCTTAACATTTTACAAAATACTCTGAACAGAAACAAATCCAATGGTCAGCAGGGCGATTTTGCTCCAGCATATGCCGGGCTGTGATTCGATTTGGTGTCTTCCCATTATGGGCGTTGTTTTTGGTTTAGGGCAGGGCTTTTCAACCAGTGGTACAGGTACCACCTGTGGTACATTGGCACCTGGCAGGTGGTACGCGAGCATCCTAGAAAAGTAGTAGGGGAGGGGAATGAGCCGAACCGGTGGCAGAACCACACAAGCCTGAGCCAGAGACAGCTGGAGCTGCAGGGCTCTCAGGGCTCAATGGAAGTGCCAGGATCAGCGCCAGGATCCAGCTGGAGCTTGGCGCTGATCCTGACACTTCTGCTGAGCCCAGAAGAAGCACCAATCAGCTGGAATGTTGCAGCATCTCCAGGGTCTTGTGATTTACATTCAGATGCTTGGCAACTGATTCATATTTATGACGGCCACAGTGTCCCAGGGTCATGTGAAGTGACCAAAACCTGCTGCAACCACACAGCAGACGGAGGGGGGAATAAAAACCAAACACCCCCCACTCCACCCCCGCTGCCAATCCTCAACAGAAATGCTCACAACAATGAAAACCTCGGACAGGAGGAAGAGCGCCACTGGGCGGGCAGGCAGGTGTCTTGCTCGGCTGTGGCTTGGGGGGCACTTTTTTCAGTGCCATTGTAACTTCGAACAGTCACTAAGGGAACTGTTGTAAGTCGAGGACTACCTTTACTTTATCACTTTTTTCCTTTTTTTTTTTTTTGGTCATCAGGTTTTTGACACCTTGCTAGGCGACTGGTGGTCCTCGGATGTTGCCATATCCTAAAAGTGGTACAATGGGTGAAAAGGTTGAAAAGCCCTTGTTTAGGGCATGTAGTTGGTTTGAAGTGGCAAGCTCTGTGTTGATTCATGTTTTTGGCACTTTCCTTGACTTTTAGGGGGCCCAAGAGAGGCTGGACGGTTTACGCAGGACCGGAGTCATCCACCAGAAGCAACCAGGCCTGTCCGTGGAGAGTTTTATGGCAGAATTGCTCCCTGACAAGTGAGATACAGTCCTTCAACGCAGCTGGGAACTTGGAGCAAAAATCTCCTTCCCCAGTTTCCCCTTGCTTGTTCATTTTTATATAATTTTTTTTAATTAAACGTTTTACAATCGGGATCAAAACACAAATGAATAGAAAGAAACGGCGGAAAGGGGAGGAAAGAAAAAGAAAGGGGGAAAAAAAAGAGCAAAGCACCGAAAGAAGACAGAGAAGCTTCCAATTTCTTTGAAGCAAATATATGTATAATTACAAAATTCCTTCTAACTCTGATGGCTATTATCTAGCCTTTTTCCCCCCCTAATCAACCACAAATCGTGTGCATTTTTTCCCATTCTACACACACACACACAAAATCTATAAGGGGTTTCCAGTCAGCCATAAAATGTAGGCTTTGTTCCTTTATAGTGGTCTTGTGAGGAGGCTGAGCTGAGAAAGAGTTTTGCCCCATTTTACGACTTTTCTTGCCACGGTTCTTAAGTGAATCACTGCAGTTGTTAGTAAAATGGTTGTTAAGTGAATCCGTCTCCCCTCACTGACTTTGCTTGTCGGAAGGTCACAAAAAGGGATCACGTGACCCCGGGGACACTGCAACCATTATAAATATAGGCCGGTTGCCAAGCGGCCGAATTTGGATCATGGGACCAAATTAACGGTCGTTAAGTGTGGAAAAGGAGTCCTAAGCCACTTTTTTCAGTGCTGTAACTTCAAACAGTCACTAAATGAATGGTTGTAAGTCAAGGACTTATCTGTATTGGGAGGCAGAGTTTCAAACTGGGGGACGTTGGCAAGGGCCAGCCTATTTAGCCTCTTTGTGGACATCAGCATGATGGAATAAAATCTAAAAACTTTCAAAAAATCTTTACAGATGGTTTGATATTGGCTGCCTGATCCTGGAGGACCCAGTTCACGGAATCCACCTGGAAACCTTTACTCAGGCCACACCCATACCTCTGGAATACATACAACAGGTGAGTCCTTATGTCCCCCGAAAGGGAGATCACCCCCCAGGCAGATAGGACAGTTTCAAAACGTTTTGTCTTTTTGGCAAATTCAGCTTTACCGCCCAGTTCCAACAACGAATCCTGCTTTTTGTTGAGGCAGGAATTTTAGGAATTTAGGCCTGTTGCCTATAGAGGCTTCCTTCAGTCTTTTTCAGAATTTTTTTTAAAAAATGCATCCATTGGGATAAAATCCAGGAAAAAAAATGGGCTCCTATTATATGTGATTTTGCTCTCTCTATATATTATTTTTTTAGTGAATAAAATGTTAAAGCAGGCTGTAAAGTGGATTCCAGAGGCAGGTCTGCCCACATCGCCGATCCTGGTTTAGCCTCTGGTGTACATTTGGCACCTACGATGTAATATTATGTCAGACTCAGCCAGTTGTGGCTTGTTCAACAAAGAACAGCCACGTGTTCATGCCCTCCCCCCTCAGACAGCCTTGCATCAGAATAACAGGGTTGGAAGGGACCTCCAGAGGTCTTCTAGTCCAACCCTCTGCTGAAGGAGGAAACCTTATACCATTTCAGACAAATGGTTGTCCAGTCTTTTCTTTAAAACCTCCAGGGATGGAGCACCCACAACTTCTGGAGGCAAATCATTCCACTGGTTAATTGTTCTCACTGTCAGAAAATTTCTCCTTAATTCCAAGTTGCTTGATTAGTTTTCATCCAATGTTTCTTGTCCTGCCTTCGGGTGCTTTGGAAAATAAGTGAACCCCCTCTTCTTTGGGGCAGCCCCTCAAATACTGGAATACAGCTATCCTGTCCCCCCTAGTCCTTCTTTTCTCTAGACTGGCCATTCCCAAATCCTGCAATTGTTCATATGTTTTATTCTCCAGGCTTTTAATCATCTGTTGCTCTTCTCTGCACTTGCTCCAAAGTCTGGCTGGTCCCCTCAGATATTAGAAAGTCATTTCCACTTCCTTCTTTTTCCTTACATAGAAAAAAAACTTTTATTATTTTTGTCATTAGTTGCCACTTGTAGCTCATTCTAGGCCTTTACTTTCCTGACTCCATGCAGATTTGAGCTACTGGTTGGTATTCTGTTTTAGTGATAGCATGTCAACTTCATCTTTTGGTGAAATGCAGATAGTCCTCGACTTAAACCGTTCATTTAGTGACTGTTCAAAGTTAACAGAGGCACTGAACCAAGGGACTTACGACCATTTTTCGCACGGCCGTCACAGCATCCCCATGATCATGTGATCAAACTTCAGATGCTTGCAGTATTTGCCCAATTTTGGAAAAATGAAGATTTACCATCTGATCAGACTATAATTACTAAAAATTTAGAATGTGCAGAAATGGATAGATTAACTTTAGAGATCAAAGAGAAAGACGACTCTATCTACTTTAAAACATGGGAAAAAATTTATCAATGGTTAGCAACACGATAGAATGAGAAAAGATTTTGAAATTAATTTGGTTGAATGTGATTCTAAGCATTAGTGATTATAACTTATTAATATTTTATTAATTATGGTTATTTAGTAAGATGAATATTATTTATATCTTTTATTCTTATGGTTATTGTTAACCCAGTTTATTATAATTGTTTAGTACTATATAAGTGATGTTTATTTGATTTTGATAACTTGCTTGTTAAGCGTGGATTTTTTGTTGCACCCATCCCCAATTCCCTTGCATTTACCCTTTCCTATACCCCTATTGATCCCATCCCTTTCCGATCCTTATAAAACCCAATAAAATATTTTTTAAAAAAAATTCAGATGCTTGGCAACTGGTTCATACTTATGACCAGTATCCTGGTGATCCCCTTTTGCAACCTTCTGACAAAGTCAATGGGGAAGCCAGATTCGCTTAACGGCCAGGTTACTAACTTATCAACTGCAGTGATTCACTTAACAGCTGTGGCGAGAAAGGTCATAAAGCAGGGCAAAATTCACGTAACAAATGTCTCGCTTAACAAACAGAATGTTTGGGCTCAATTGTGGTCGTAAGTTGAAGATAACCTGCACTCATAATCTAAAACAGACATGACAAACCCGCGACGTCGTGCGACGTATCGGGACTGTTTTGCCATTGCCGGCAACGGGGTGAGCGTGGCTTCCGCGTGACGCGTCCGGCCCACGGACCGGCAGCTTGACACCCCTGATCTAAGATCATTCACCTCTAATCGACAGGTTCTCTGTTCGTTCTCGGCTCGTGCAAATAAAGTTGCAGAGTAAACCCACAAGAGAAACTGAGGCTGAGGCCCACAGGGCGTTTCTCTACTCACCCGTCTTCCTTCGTTTTGTAGGCGCAGAGTTTGACCCCCGCGGACTACAACCTTCGGTGGTCGGGTTTATTGGTGACGGTGGGCGAAGTGATTGCCAGGAACTTGCCGCACGTCAACCGCACCGACTGGCACACGGCATTCACTGGCATGTCTCGTCAACAGATGATCTACAGCGCAGCCAAAGCGATTGCAGGGATGTATAAGCAGCGTTTACCCCAAAGGACCATTTGAAAAGAAAATCAAAAATCCCCCAAGCCCAAGGGGAACCCAAAGAACAGGGTTTGAGGGGGGGGACACACTGTTTACTCATCATTCCTCACCCTGGTGCTACCCCAGCGAGTTGGGACTGGAACTCCTGAGTTTGTAGACCAGCAGTCTGGGTAAGGCACCAGGTTGGAGAAGGTTGCATTAATTAAAATACATTCAAAGAGGTGCACATTTCAAGTTAAAAAACAGTAAAGCTGCTAAGCTAAACATTTGGGTCACCAAATATATTTTAGCCTGTAATTAGGGCTGGAGGAGTTCCATTTGGAATACTTTGAGCTCCAAAGTCAGAAAAACCAATTTCTTAAAAGTGTTTTTATGTTCGTTAAGAATTGGGCGATCAAGATGAATATTTGGCCTTGTGAAATGACCCTTTTTAAGTTTTGTATGCATCTTACTTCCTCCTAAGACAAGGGGTAGGCCACCTTGGCTCTTTTATGACTCGTGGACTTCAACTCCCAGAATTCCTGAGCCAGCATGGGGAAAACTATGGCCCCTTCATGACTTGTGGACTTCAACTCCCAGAATTCCTGAGCCAGCATGGCTCATCTTGGAAACCTCCATTTTTCCTCAGCATGGCTGGCTCAGGAATTCTGGGAGTTGAAGTCCATGAGTCATAATAAAAGAGCCAAGGTGGCCTACCCCTGTCCTAGGGCGTTAATTCAGAGGCAAAGGGAACTAAAATGGGATTTTAAAACAGAAAAAAAACCTCCAGAAATTAATGTCTATATCTTTGCAAAAGTTAAAACCCAGATCCAATGACAACTGATTCTGGGGCTCTTTTGCAGACATCTTCCCAAATAGGGCATTATGGAACAGTTGCAATGCAGGGTGTCAAAGGGCGGGGTTCTTTTTCTATTATTATTCTTTTTTTAAAGGGTGAGTTTTGTGTGAGGCCCCAGTTTAAACCGTTCATTTCATTTGAAGGCTTTCTACCTTCAAAACGGATCAGTTTAGACCAGGGGTAGGCAACCTTGGCTCTTTTATGACTGGTGGACTTCAACTCCCATAATTCCTGAGTCACCCTGGCTCAGCTTGGAAACCTCTCCATTTCCCTTCAGCATGGCTGGCTCAGGAATTCTGGGAGTTGAAGTCCACGAGTCATAAAAGAGCCAAGGTGGCCTACCCCTGGTTTAGAACCTACAGTTCAAATCATGGAATTTTAACGCTGGCTCAAAAACAGTTGAACTGTTCAGTCAAATTTGATCCAGGGTTTTTGTTTTTAACATGTTAGCATTTTCTTTAACCAATCTATTCAGGTCAATCGCCTTCAGATCAGATTTCAGAATCAAATATTTGCATAGCCACCTGATCAGAGGTTTGGTATATAAATCATTAACGTGATATTTTCAGTTCAAGAAAACTTTTCCCCGTTGTGACTCAAGCCATTTTGCATGTAGTAAGGATGCTGTAGGGCCACCATTAACACAAGCCAACAAATTGCATTTTGTTGGCAGTAAATGTAATCACTACTTTCGAAGAAGCAAATTCTTATCCCTTTTCTATCGTGTCTCCCTTCTCTATCTCATATTCTGTACTTGGATGCTGTCAGTTCATATTTATAAACTGCTAAAGAAGAGACTATTTTGATAACATTTAGTACAAGCTTCTCAATTTATATTGCTTAATCTTTCTCTTTTCTAGATGCTTCCAAAATATAATTTTATATAGAATACCTGGCTAGCCAGTTTCTTAATATTTTCCCAAGAATGTTACTTGTTTTGGTTTCATTTGTAAATCAGAATTAAATCAATTAAATCAATACTGCTCCAGTAGAACTGTTTTCCCCTTAAAGCATTTAAGCATCTTCAGCAGATCCTGAAACCTGACAATCATATTCACCTGCCATAGGATTTGGGGAACTTTCTATTTCAATCAATCAGAATAGCACTGGAAGGGAACTTGGAGGTCTTGTAGTCCATCCCCCTGCTCAAACAGAAGACCCTATACCATTTCAGACAAATAATTATCCAGTCTCTTCTTAAACACCTCCAGTGATGGAAGGAAGCTGTTCCACTGGTTAATTGTTCTGTTAGGAAATTTCTCCTTAATTCTAGGTTGCTTCTCTCCTTGATTAGTTTCCATCCATTGTTTCCTGTCCTGCCTTCTGGTCCTTTGGAAAATAAGTTGACCCCCTCCCTTTTTGTGGCAGCCCCTCAAATACTGGAATACTGCTATCGTGTGTGTCCCCCCCTACTCCTTTTCTCTAGACTAGTGTCATGTGTCTGATTAACGAAACACTTAAAAGGACTTTCAGGCATATTTTTCCTAAAAGCATTTATTAAGGTTACAGTACGGCATGGTGGAAATGCTTAGATCTGGATTCTTTTCCGTTGCACATACATTCCAAGCATTTTTCCCCGCCCCTATTTTGGGGTCATGGTTCACATCTTCCAATTAACTTGGAAGATGTGATTTACTTCCGATTCTCCTCCCCTTTCATTGTTGCCTGATTTAACTATAAAAATACCAGACAGTTCTGCATATTGTCAAAGCAAGAATATACAGTATTTGCAGCGTTGACATCTACCATACCCAAATCCTGCAATTGTTCATCTGTTTTAGTCTCCTGGTCTTTAATCATCCTAGTTGCTCTTCTCTGCACTTTTTCCAAAGTCTCAACCTTTTATGTAATGTGATGACCAAAACTGGGTGCAGTATTCCTGGTGTGGTCTTACTAAGGATTTATAAAGTGGTACTAATATTTCACGTGATTTTGATTCTATGCCTGTTTATACAGCCAAGGATTGTATTCGCTTTTTTGGCTGTTGCTGCACACGGCTGGCTTGTCTTTTAAGTCATCGTCCACAAATTCCTTTGAAACGTACTGTAGAAACTTATCCCTGCCTGATAATGCCATACATACATACATACATGTCTTTTAAAATACTAAAAATGTGAATCCTGGGCATTATGTTAACAAATAAAAGAAAAAACGAACACCAGGATATAATAAACCAGCCTGTTTAATATAAACAAGCCTGTGGTTAAGAAGAGTCACTAAGCTTTTGTCCGGCCAAAAACTGCTGGCGTCATCAGAGTTAGAATAGCAGGAGATCGGGAAGGCAGCTCGTATAGCCTCCTGCCTCTGCGCCCGGCTCCTTGAGCACGTCATCGGCCCGTTGATTGTATTAATCTGCGCGATACAGGCCGATGCTGTAAGTCACATTTTTTTCCAGTGCCAACTTCGGTTACTAAACAAAATGGTTGTAAGTCGAGAATTACCTGTATTTGGCTTCCATTAATCATTTTTTTTCCTTAGGAGTAAACTCCAGTTTAATATCACAATTTTGAGTCTCTTGTTTGCCCATGGATAAATCTTGGAATTTATGAAATGATAATTTAAGCAAACCTGAACACCAGCCCTTTTTCACTTCCTTTCACTCACTGGCTGTGTGAATACACTTAGGCAATACACCTGACCTTCCCATTAAAGGAGTCCATCTCCAAATTATTCAAACTTGCAGTAACAAAAGAGCCTGCATTCATTGAATTCACACAAAGAGATTTTAATAAGAAGCATATGAATGTGGCCACTGATCAAAGGATTACAAAAACACAACGGTATCTTTATCTGAAAATACTGGTTTGTTTTTACAATTTTTTTAAAAAAACAACTTCAAAATTCAATATAGCAACCAAAATGCATTTTTTGAGGGTGGGTATGTTCTTCGGTTCAGGATCGTCACTCAAATAAATCCAAGTATTCTCTTGATTCCTGCCAACTTCTCCCAAACGTCCCACCATGGATTTGATTGCATCTTTCCATTGTGAAGTGCGTCTTGCACTTTTGAAGTGGAAATTTCAGGTGCGATCTTCAGCCATTCTGAGCAACTGAAAGGGGTTTTTCCCCACCCTCCAACAAATAGCAAAATTAATTTTAATGGGTAATATATTGATTTCTCCAAAGTCCACATTCAGCAGTATTTCTGAACCCACGTACTAAGCAACTGAACTTCATTTTTAATGTGTGCCATTGTGCCCACAGTAAAAAAAAGACAATAAAGGTTATCTATTTACTGCAAGCCTGAAATTACATATGGAAGAGTCCCATCCTTCCCAACTAATTAGAAAATAATGGTGTTAAAACCTAATGCCATTGCAGTCCAGGTTGCCTAATATCAAATCTATTGCAACAAACAGTTTTTCAATCTTTTCTTTAGAACTTCAATGATGGAGCACCCACAACTCTGGGAGGCAATTTGTTCCATTGACCAATTTTTCTGCAGTTTTGTTATTTTATGCCATACCTGTAGGCTGAGAAAAAGACACCGAACTATTATCTTGTATCCGCCTTTTAATAAATATCTCCCAAGGCATGAATAAACAGGCCAATCACATTCAAACAGGTGTTTTCTTTTGCTCATATAAATTGCTGGACACTCTAACATTTTTTTCCTACGATGATTAAAGGCCTGGAGACAAAAACATATGAACGGTTACATTGGGTTTGACTAATCTAGAGAAAAGGACTGGGGGACATTGTACTGTAGCTCTTCCTGACAGTGAGGGCAATTAACCAGTGGAACAGCTTGCCTCCAGATGATGTAGGTGCTCCATCCCTGGAGGTTTTTAAAGAAAAAACTGGACAACCATTTGTCTGAAATAGTATAGGATCTCTTGCTTGGACAGTGGGTTGGACTAGAAAACCTCCAAGGTCCCCTTTTCAGCTCTATTCGGAGTGAAATATTCCACAAATCAAGTTACGGGGCAGAAGGGTATCAGAATGCAAGTCCCGTTCTTCATGAAAACGGACGCCCAGAAGCCCTGATGAGCAGAACTGAAATGAGTCCTGTACTTCAGATTCCCTTGCCAAGTGTACACGGTACGCAGGCCCGACTGCATCTGGATAGAAAGCAAGGGCATTGCAGGGACTTGAACCCCATCCTGGAATCCAGGAGTGCCAACCACCAATGCCTTTTGCTTTTTTTTTTGGTTTGGGCAATGCAGCAAGGTGAAAAGCAAAACCTGAGAAAACACAACTTGTTCTCTCAGGAAAAGAAAAACCTTTTTTTGTTTTTCTGCTTCCAACACGACACGTACCACGACCTGAAAAGAGTCTTAGCAGAATTGCAAACACCCTCCCCAGCCACCTACACTGCCTAGAGCTAGGTCAGCCAAAAGGCTTCCCACCCACAGTTATGTCCCTCAAAGACAGGAAAACTTGTGTCAAAGGTACAGCATATACTTCTTTGTTGAGATTTTACTTGATTTGTGCCTGGCATATATGAACATCGTAGGAAAACTGAGGAATGTAAAAAAAAAAATTACCTTCCTTGAACTGGGCTGTTGGCTTCCAACTTAGAAGTTAAGGCAATATTTGCTCTGATGTTTTCAAGTATTTTTAACATTATTACCTTATGAACAGCAGCCCTGGGCAGGATCCAGGTTTTAGCATGAA